TTTCATCTCAGACTCATGAGCCAAGGACAGGTGGATTTCTGTGAGTTCAAGGCCAGCCTGGTCTATATAATGAGTTCCATCCAGGCCAACTACATAATGAGACCCTGTCTCAAAGCAAAATCAAATAAAGTAATTAAACATTTTAAGTAAATGTTAGGCAAGGTGTGGTGATCCTTGCCTTTCATCCCACAGCACATGGGAGGTAGAGGCAGGAGACTCAACAAAAGTTCAAGGCCAGCCTGAACTACATAGTGAGTTCAGGGTCAGCCAGGGCTACAAAACAACCCTGTCTCAACACCACCCACCCTGCAAAATAGCACAGAAAATGGGAAGTGGAGTCAGGCACAGTGATCCATGCCTGTAATTCCAGTGCGTGGGAAGCAGAGACAGAAGGATTGCCACAAGTTTGAGAACTGCCTGGATTGCATAGCAGGATTTTATCTTGTGGGGCATTGGTGGCGCACGCCTTTAATCCCAGCACTCAGGAGGCAGAGGCAGGTGGATCTCTGTGAGTTCTAGACCAGCCTGGTCTACAAGAGCTAGTTCCAGGACAGCCTCCAAAACCACAGAGAAACCCTGTCTCAGAAAACCAAAAAAAAAAAAAAAAAAAAAAAAAAAAAAGATTTTGTCTTGAAGGGGTGGGGGCTGGGCATATAGGCTGTTAGAGCACTTGCCTAGCATATGTGAGGCCCTGAGTTCAGTTCCCAGCACTGCAAAGGGAAAAAGAAAAAAAGAACAGTGTTTATTTGTATATTCCTAAGTTTTGATCTTATGATTGCATCCTCACAGTACAAAACCTCTGGCAAGCTAAATTCTTTTGTTTTGATGTAGGGTCTTCCTGCCTCAGCCTCTTGTGTTGTGATTACAAACTTGAGCCACCACAGACAGCTCTATGCTTTTATAAAACACAACTGGTTTGCTAATAAATGAATGAAAGGACATGTCTCCAAAAGTCACCTACATTTAACAAGCATTAAATCATACGTTACAGTTTTGCTTTTTTATTAACTTTTAAACTTTAAACAGTAAAAGTCTTTTTTTCCTTTCCTTTCTTTTTTTTCTCCTTTCTCCCCCCCCCCCCGTCTCCTTCTTCCTTTCTATGTAGTCAATGATGTCCTTGAACTTCTAATCTTCCTGACTCCACCTCTGAGATCACAGGTGTTTATCATCACACCCAGTTTGTGTCGTTCCCAGAGTTTTGTGCATCTTATATGGACACTGTATGCACTAAGCTATATCCCCAGTCCAGCATGATTTTTAAAAATGGGAGGAGGGTGAGCTGGAGAGGTGTGTGTGTGTGTGCATGTGTGTGTGTACATGTGTGTGCATGTGTGTGTCTGTGTGTGTACATGTGTGTATACATGTGTGTGTGCATGTGTGTCTCTGTGTGTGTCTGTGTGTGTACATGTGTGTATACATGTGTGTGTGCATGTGTGTCTCTGTGTGTGTCTGTGTGTGTACATGTGTGTATACATGTGTGTGTGCATGTGTGTCTCTGTGTGTGTGTCTGTGTGTGTACATGTGTGTATACATGTGTGTGTGCATGTGTGTCTCTGTGTGTGTGTCTGTGTGTGTACATGTGTGCGTGTGTCTGTGTGTGTGTGTCTGTGTGTGTGTGAAGGAGAGATGGCCCAACAGTTAGGGGTGTAGTCTGCTCCTCTAGAGCACCCAGGTCCAGTCCTGGCACCCATTTCAGGCGACTCACAGCCTCCTGTGTCTCCAGCTCCAGGGGATCTGATGCCTCTGGTCTCCTTGAGCGATTGCACACATGTGCACAAACCCACACCCAGACACATATATACATATACTTTAAAATAAATCTTAAAAATAATATAACTCAAACTGAGTAAAAACATAGCGTGTCTAAGTAAAAATTTATGCTTGCTGATCAAAAATACATTTTGCGATCCAGTCTTCCTTCTTCATATGCATTTGCCCATTCATTCATTTGGGCTGTACTGGGGATGGCGCCAGGGCCCTCAGCAGGCATGCTTGGCGGGCACTCTGCCACGAGCCAAACCCCAGCTCTTGCCTCACCCTTTGTTACCTACTTATTTAGCTCCAGCCTTTTTAGATGGGATCTCCTGTAACCAAAGCTGGTTCTGAGCAAGCCGTATACCTGAGGGTGTCTTTGAACTCCCAACCCTTCTACCTTCACCTCCTGAATGCTGAGTTGACAGTGTCCATCACTGTGCCTAGCTCTTTTTTACACACGTAAGCAAGTAAAACCTCCAGCTGATCACATGCAGTGACAGAATTAAAGACCCTGGCCTTCTGTGTCTCTCTGTCTTTATCACTAGGCTCTTGTTCAAATTGGGAATCTGCTGCTTAAACGCAGGGGAGGGGGTATCTCAGGGGAAGGGCACATGTTGCCCCAGCAACCGGAAATGCTGACTTCTGGGATCTTCCTCTTGAGCACATGTATGTCTCTCAGCACATGTATGTCCGTTCTGACCACAAAGCTGGGAGTACTCCAAATAATGTCCTCGGGAAAACTAAGTGTGTTAAAGAACGGTTGCTTTGAAATGCTCATCTGGACTTTACACACGTGTTAACTCAATAGAGATGGCACCAATTGTTTGTAACTTAGACAGGGAAAGTATTTCTTCCAAGAGGAGTGGTGTCTTATCACAGAGAGTTAGCAGACTGCTGGCCTGTAATGCTAAAAGCAAGCTAACCAGTTTTTAGTCGTGTGGTTTGGTGTTTCTGCTTTGGAAGGGGGGTGTTTGTTTTTTCTGGCTTTTAATTGTTTGTTTTACTGTTTTTGAACTCTGGAGTCTACCTCTTTATTACTTGTCCTGGGGGAACTATTTGTCCCCAACAGCACATTCCAGACCCGTGTTGTTGGAGAGTTGAAGGAAGATTGTGGCATATCTGGGTCAACCTTCCTGGGACTGGGAAACTGAGGTCTCTAACACAAAATGCCTTTTGTTCAGAGCAGAGCAGCCCACCTGCCAGGTCTGAGACCCCATGGCCTTCCTTCTGGAAGGAGGAAGATGCTCTGGGTCCTAGTGCTGCTGTTCTTGCTGTTCTGAACATCTCTGCACATTAAAATGTTTTCAGGTGGCCCAGTTGGGCGTTGGTGGTGCACGCCTTTAATCACAGCACTCGGGAGGCAGAGGCAGGCAGATTTCTGTGAGTTTGAGGCTAGCCTGGTCTACAGAGCGAGTTCCAGGGAAGCCTCCAAAGCAATACAGAGAAAACCTGTCTCGAAAACCAAAAAAAAAAAAAAAAAAAAAAAAACGTTTTCAGGTGTTTTTTTTTCTGTCATATTAACTTCAAAAAAATAATAAGCAATATGTTAGATTTGAGAAGATAGACACAAGTGATTATTATGAGCTAAAGTCTTTTTTAAGGCTTGTTTATTTTTTTATTGTATGTGTATGGGTGTTTTCTCTGCATATATATCTGTGCACTGTGTGCGTGTCTGGCCTCCAAAGAGAGCAGAAAAGAGCCGGGTCCCCTAGAGCTTGAGGGACAGACAGATGTGAGCAAACATCTGGGTGCTTGGAATTGAACCCAGGTCCTCTGGAAGAGCAGCCAATGCTATTAACCACTGAGCCACCCATGGGCTCAGTGTCTAACAGGCTTCTCATAGGAGAAATGATGTCAGTGTCAGGCTTTGTTCCTTTCACTTATGATCATTGTAAGCACTCATCTAAAAACTGCTCGTCGAATCTAAGTAGTACTTATTTCATTCTGTTCTCAGACAGTAGTATGTATTGTGAGTTTTAATTTAATTTTTTAAAGCCTCAATTGGCACCGATAAGATGGCCCAGTGGGTAAAGGTAATGGTTACACCAGCTTGGTGACCTGAGCTGGATCCTCAGAGTCCATATAAAGGTGAAAAGAGAGAATCATAAAGTCGTTCTCTGACTTCTACACGCGTGTGCCCCCATCTCTCTGTCTCTGTCTCTATCTCTCCTCTCTGTCCTACACACACACACACACACACATACACACACACACACACTCTCTCTCTCTCTCTCTCTCTCTCTCTCTCTCTCTCTCTCTCTCTCTCTCTCTCTCTCTCTCTCTCTTCTGCTGGCCGGGACTGGCACAGCCCAAGATGAGAGGCCAGCGTCTTATTTTCCCATTGTCACTAACTGGTCGGGCCACTTCCCACATCTTGCTCAGCCTCATCACGGTGGCATCCAATTCCCTTCCCACAAGAAAGTGGACCCTGGACCCGAGGACGTCTCGTGGGTTTCTCCTTTGAGTGTAACCATTGTGGGTTAGTGACTGGGAAAAGCCCGGGCAAGCGCTTGACTCTGTCTGGATGAGCTAGCTGCCTGCATCCCGGCCTCCTGGGGTGACCTCCCGGGGAAGGTCAGCAGCTGAAGCTATGCTGGAACCTGTCCCTCCTGAGAGACCTCCCCCTGCTTCCAGCAGTCTGGGCAGCCTCCCCTGGGTATCCTGCCCCAGCTCCATACTTCCCTCGTCCATTCTCTCCCCTTTCTCCTGCTCACAAGGCCAGGGCCTCTTCAGAGCTCCACTATGCTGCTTGATCCACTCCTGACCAAAGACTGCCTGGAACAGTGGTCAGGGGTGGCCTGCAGGGGCTCCGAGGCTCACCATTCCTGTCCTTTGGAACCCGGAGGTGGCAGAGGGATCTGCATTCTGCAGCACTCAGTGACTTCCCCAAACCCAAGGACGATATTCCTCATCCTCGGCTAACTTCTAGCTCAGTCTCTGACTCCTGTGGTCCTCAGGGAGGTGTCCCCTGATGCTGTTGCAGACTGTCAGCCATCCTTGGGCCTCGTGTCTCTCCAATCTGGGTCCTTCCAATAGATGCTTTCCCACCCCGCCCCTCTGTCTCGCTCTCTACCTCAGTGAAGATTGTGTGGTAACACATGCAGGCCAGGAAGTGAGACCAGGAGGGCTGTGTGGAATTCACTCTGAGCATTCACTCTCCCACTCATTCACGAAGTGCCTGCTCCATGCAAAGGTATTAAGTGGTTTCCAATAATTCAAAATAATTCTTTCAGGAGTCTCTACCGCGAGATGCTTACCGCCGGGGGTGTGATGTGATGGTGATAACCTGCCTGCCCAATGTCAAGAGGAAGGCAGGGGACTCAGCGATTCCTGTCCGTGTCTCCAGAGTGTTGGATCCTAGCCCAACCATCCAGGGAAGGAGCCAGGGAGACCAACTATGGAATTCTTCCTAAGTGAGGGTGTGCTGATAGACCTGTTTCTGACACCCCCAGCTTCCTCTGCACTCCCAGCCTTGGGGGTGGGGGCGGGGGTCCCAGCACCTTCCCTGGCAGCCACCTGGTCTCCTAGTACATGATCACCTGCCCGTTCCTGTTTATGAGCACTCTTCCTTGATATGTTGAGCTGGTGTGTGCCCCTCTGTGCAGGGATGGCTGGTTGATCTGCAGGTCCCTGAAGGCAGCCTTTGGCAGGGCCTTTTTCCTGTGCCCCTCTGCTTCCTGGTAGGCGGCAGCCCACATTTTACCACTGCCCTGTCCTCTGGGATTCCCACCTCCAGTAGCAATCCTGAGATTGTACAAGCAGTGGGCAAGCCGCCTTGGCAGCTTAACACAGACAAAATTTCCCGAGAGACATGGTTTGAGTCAAAACCAGATTGACAAGCGTGGAAATCTGTGTACAAGCCATTCCTTGGGGGCGAATTGCTTTTTACCCTATAGAGCCAGAGGGCCCTGCTGGGAGACTGGAGACAGGGACGCTGAGGCCAACCAGCATCAGTCTCTGCAGGTCAGCTGGGAGTCCTACCTCCTGTCCAGGCTCAAAGGCCAGCTCTATTTTTAGACATGGCCAAAGAAAAGAAATTTAATTTCATGCCCCTTATGCAACATTTTATTTGGGATGTTTTGTTGTTAAATTTGTTTTTTGTTGTTGTTTTGTTTTTAGACAAGGTCTCACTATGCTACTCTGACTAGCCTAGATTCACTATGTAGACCAGGCTGACCTTGAACCTGTAATAATCCTCCCTCAGCTTTGCAAGTATAGCTTGCCAGTAGTATAAGCACGGGCTCACCACACCCACCCGAGTGTGGTTTGGCTAGTGACTCCTGAGACACCAGAAGACCCAGAGTAGACTTGCAGCATGGTCATAGTTGTCACTGACAGGTTTTCTCTCAATACGCACGTGTGTACACAGTGCGCACTCGCGCGCACACACACAAGCACACACATATATGTGCATGCATAACACACACACGTGCATGCACACACCCTCTCTCTCCCACCCCAGTGAAATATTTTGTCATTTTCTCGTTTTCCAAGTAGAATTTCATTTCCTGCTATAACCCTAAGCTCTTCCAACTTCCTTCTTATCCCTTTCTCCCTCTTCTCTTTCCCCGTGTCCCAATCCTCCCCTTCCCACCAGCCTCCCTGTTTCTGGACATGACTCCTGCCCAGGCTCTCTTTGGGTCTCTCTGCTGCACCGTAGGCATTTGGCATCCAGCAAGGCTGCTGCTACAACAGCCTGTCCTTGAGGCCCAGAACCCAAACGTGTGCCCAGGCCTCCTTTCCCGTCTCTCGGTGACCCAGATTTCTTCTCTGTCCACTCTAATTGGTCCGGGTCTGCAGTCACTGCCAGCCCCTCCTCAGTGGGCTGGGCTCATCTGTCCAAATGAGAGTGTGTGCATTGCTCCTCATCAACTGTCAGCGGGGCAGATGTTAGAAAACGCTGCAGTGGAGAAAATTCGAGTTCACAAAGAGGAATCCCCCAGGGCAGTGCCCCCCCCCCAGGATACTTTTGAAGACACACTTGTTCTCCCTGCAGCCTGCACGTCCTCTATAAAAGTAGTATTTGTTAATCATTTCTACTGGCCCTCTTTGCTCTTGCAAGGGACTCTGTAGGCCCCTCACCCCTCCTACAAAGTGGTTGGCTTCACGAAGGGTGTGCCAGGACAGGGTTTTGGCATGGTCCCCGGGGTGTCACGGGACCAAGGGATGATCTCACAGGGTCCACCATCTGCCCTGCCTGGCCAGAGGCTGCATCGGGAGGGCCAAGGGGCACCACGTGCCCTGGGTATTTTCAAACAAGAGCCCTTAGAGAAAGCAGGCAATTCTCACAATCTTCCTTTTGCTGACGGGTGTTTCTCTCTGGTAGGCTCCCAACTCTAGAAAACTCCAGGAGCTTCTGCAAGGGCACACTGGGGTAGAGTATTATTACACAACCTGAAGAAAGCCTGTCCTGGGATCTGGGAGGAGGGGACATCTTCCCTGAGGAGCTGTTTGGTCTGAAAATACAAGTATCCCTATAAGGGTTCAGTTGCATTGATGGACGGTCAAGCTTTAATGATAATTACCAGAGATGGCCTTTATCTAGCTTTAAAAGCACATGTATTCATCTTACAGATACCTGAGGTTCAGAGAGGTTGAGTGATTAGCCTAGGGTCACACAGCTAGTAATGAAGAATCCAGGCAGTCAGGCTAGAGTATGTTGTGAACTCTGTCCCTGCTGCCACTATATAGAAGGGTTGGGGCAAGCAGATATGGTGGCACACGTCTGTACTCTGAGCAGGCTCAGCAAGGGAGAGCAAGTATTCAAGGGCAGCCTGGGAGGGATAGTGATAACCCTCTCCCACCCCTCCACTGAAGACAGAGTGCCAACCTCATTGTCCTTGACCCAGGGATGCATTTCTCACATGTGTTCTTGAACATGGTTTGTTTTCCGTCCTTCCGAGACAACACCAAGTTCAGGTCATTCATTACTGAGAGACAAGTGCTGGTTAGCCAGCCCTCCTGACATTGCCCCCCCACCATGTCCCTCAGGACGGGTCCTCAGACTTAGAAAATAGGAAGGAAGACATTAAAAAAATTGCCACCTTCCCTTCCCAATTGTCCTCTCCCTTCCCTGGCTTCCTTGTCCCCATCTAATGAAAGATCTTTGCAAAAGAGCCAGTTTCAGCCTGTCTCCTGTGACCTTTCGAACTCCTGCCTCCCCCGCCTCCCCGACACACACACACACACACACACACACACACACACACACACACACACACACGCACACATGCGCACACACACACACACGCACCTGCTGCTTATGGACAAATCCCCAGCAAGCTGAGACTCTCCGATGGAAAGTTCCAGGCTCAGTTGGTTCCCCCTAGATCTGCCTCATCTTCCCTGTGCCTCCCATTACTCACCCAGGGACTGCGCCAGGAATGAGGAGCTGTCACCCCACCGTGAGGTTTTCCTTCATCCCACCTCCCTTCCCCTCCCCCCAGCTGACCCACCCTGTCCATGGCTGCCCTCTCTCACCTCCATCAAAGCAGAGTTCAGGTGCCAGGCAGTGGGTAGCACCTTTAATCCCAGCCCTCGGGAGACAGAGTCAAGTGGATCTTTGTGAGTTCGAGGCCAGCCTGGTCTACAAAATGAGTTGCAGGACAATTAGGGCTGTTACACTAAGAAACCCTGTCTCGAAAAAAACAAAACAAAACAAAACAAAAGCAGAGCTCAGGTGAGGCCCTGAATGCTCCTCTTCTCTATTTTCAGAAATCCCCTACTCGATGTCCACATGTCCTGGTGACACGTCTAATGTGCCGCCTTGCACACACAGCATTTCAGGGACACTCACAGCCACCTTGCATTGACAGCCATACACTGCCTGTTACACAGGAAGACGCTGCAGTTTGGGTAGGGCAGGTGACCCCAGCATCTCCCCTCCGGTGAGTTTCCCAGCTGACTTAAACCTGGCTTTTGACTCCACACTGGTACCTTGTCTAGCCAAGTCTGCAGAGGAGGAGAGTCACACCCCAGAGTCACATATTTGGAGGCACCACTTCATCTAGTAATCTGGACCTGCTGCATTCTGGGAGGAGGTGGGTGAGGTTGGTGGGTGGGTCTTCCCAGTGCAAAGAAGCTTGACACAGACATCGTGGGCATCTTCAGATCCTGAGGTCTGGCTTCAGAGGAACATGGTTCAAAAGAAGGCAAAAAAGGGGGGGGGTCCTCTAGAGGGGTTCTCCTGTGAAGAGGCGGCCCCTGCCATGAAGATGAGGCTGCACTTCCAGGGTCTTCAGAGAGACAGATGAGGGCTGAGAAGGTTCAGTGGGGAAATTAGTGCTTGTGAAAACATCAGGAGCTGTAAAGCCAGATGCTGTCCCATGAGTGTCTATAGTCTCAGTGACACAGGAGGCAGAGACCGGAGACTCTCCATAAGCTGGCAGGTGAGTTAGCCTGGCATATACAGAGGCAAAGAGAGTGGGAAGGGTGAGTTGAGACAAGGTCTCACTATGTGGACCAGGCTAGCCTTGAACTAATAGATTGGCCTGCCTCTGCCTCCTGAGTGCTGGGATTACAGGCATGCCCCTCCTTTAAGACTGAACTATTTAGCCATTATCAGTAGTTACAAAGCAATTAGTTCAAACAAGCAACTCTTACTTAAAACCAGAATTGCAGCCAGGCACAGAAGAGCACACCTCTAATCCTAACAAGGCGAGTCTGAGTCGGGGTTGGAGGGTGGTCGGTAAGCAGGAAGATCTTGAGTTCAAAGCTAGCCTGGACTATGTAGAAAGCTATTTCAAAAACACCAGAACTGCCCTCTCAGGCACAGTGTGTGACTTTTCTGCACTGGTGGACATCGGCCAGCTGATGTCAGCCATGACATCTCTGATCACACGGCCGCGACACCTCCTCCTCTGAAGCCACTTCCGTTCATCTTTCCACACAAACAATGGTTATTCTCCCATGATAGAGGCCCAGAGTCATCCCAGCTCCTCACCAGCACGAGCCTCCTCCGTGCATGCTCAGTTCTAGACTATTGTGGCAAACTGCAGTGTGATATGACCATGAGCGCAGAGGTTAGTGAGACTGTCTCCCCTCCAGCCTCCCAGAGCACGTGCCCCACCTCCCTGAGCTGCCAGGACCTGGCTTCAAGATCGAAGGCATGTAAGCCTTGGAGATCCAGCTTGTCCTTTAGTGGCAGCCTGATCCCCTGGCTCTTCTGTGTCCTTTCCTCAGAGCCTGGGCTCCAGAGGAGGCAAGGCCACCAGCTACTGCTTCAACAGCCTCTGTATGGACGAGGAACAGAGCTGAACCACAGGCTTTGCAGTCAGAGAACAAATGCAAAGAGAAGGTCCTCCAAGGAAATCAGTGCTTCCCTTTGGATGAGCCACTGTGCTTACACTCCTTAGCTGACATCAGCCACTGCTGATAACTCATGTAGCCCAGGCTGGACTCATGATGTGTAGCTGAGGGTGGCTTGAACTCCCTCTGTCTCCTGAGTACTAGATTTTTTTGTTTGTTTGTTTGTTTGGTTGGTTGGTTGGTTGGTTGGGTTTGGTTTTTAGAGACCAGGTTTCTCTGTGTAGTCTTGGCTATTCTGGAACTCACTCTGTAGACCAGGCTGGCCTCCAACTCCTACAGATCTGCCTGCCTCTGCCTCCCGAGTGCTGGCATTTAAGGCATGTGCTACCGCTGCCTGGCCAAGGTACTGGGTTTTGAACCCTGCCTCTCTTTATATACCTTTTGTGTGGCTTTGAGGAATTGCTCTTTCTAAGCCACCTGTGGAAGCAGGCACAGTAACCTGGTGTTGTAGGAATTAAATAAACCAATACCAGGAACTGTTTGAAACGTGGTTCCTGCCCTTGGTAGAGTCCCGCTCCCTCCTACAGACCCTGACAGATTCAGGGGGAACAGAACAGGGAAGGGGAAACAGAAGGGAGATGGGGTGCACAAGCCGAAAATAGCCTCTTTTTTTTTTTTTTTTTTTTTTTGGTTTTTCGAGACAGGGTTTCTCTGTGGCTTTGGAGGCTGTCCTGGAACTCACTTTGTAGACCAGGCTGGCCTCGAACTCACAGAGATCCGCCTGCCTCTGCCTCCCAAGTGCTGGGATTAAAGGCGTCACCAACGCCCGGCTGAAAATAGCCTCTTTTTAAAGGTTTCCCCACTCTTTGTGGATCCATGCTTTACCTGAATGTACATATTGCCCCACCTGCTTGCCTGGTACCCACAGAGGATGGAAAATGGTACCAGAGTTCTGAATAGTTGTATGGTTGTAAACCACCATGTGGATGCTGGAAACCCAGCCTAGGTCCTCTGCGAGAACAAGGGCTCTTAACCACTGAGCCATCTGTCCAGCCCTTGATTTTATGAGACAGGGTCTTACTGTGTAGTCCAAGCTGGCCTTGTTCCTGAGTGCTGAGATTATAGGCCAAAAATAGCCCTTGAGAGCAAAGCCCATTGGAAGGTAATTTGGAGACACTATGGCTAGTTGCTTTTCAGTACATATGTGTGATATCTATTTTTGATTTAGTGGGTTTCTGTGGGGGTAAGGGCTTCCTTGTTGAGATGGTCTCCCTATGTAGCCCTGGCTTTCCTGGAATTTACTATGTAGACCAGGCTGGCTTTGAACTCCCAGAAATACTCCTGATTTTGCCTCTTGAGTGCTGGGGTTAAAGGTGTGTGCAACCACTCCCAGTTAGGATGTTGTTGTTGTTGTTTAAAAAGAACAAAAATAAAAAATAAAAAAACGAGTCACTTTTTGGAGATAATTCAAATTTCGTGCGTATTTTCAGAACATCCAAAAAAGCAACGCAGTCGTCCCTATTATCCGAGTCCTGTTTGGGGTTTTTAACTAGAGGCGGGTGAGGACGATCCCTCCTTCCTTTGGATCAGAACCTGGCTGGCGGTGGCATTCTGCTGAGTCACAGCGAGGGGACTGACGTCCGGCGCTCCCTAGCGAGGCTTGAGCGCAGCTGAAAAACCCCACCCCGGTGCTGCCCCGGCGACCGCGGTCCACCTGCGCCTGGGAAGCTTCTGGTCCTTCTCCCAGTGTGCCTGCTGCGCTGAGTCTTCGACCCCAGACCAGCCTCACTCCGGTTTTCCCTGAACTCCCTTCCCCATCCCGGTCCCCTCATACAAAGGAATGATAGCTTGTGGGAAACGCAGGGATGTGACACAGTAGCTTAGAGATGGGTTTTAGTGTCGGGAAGAGCTGAGTTGGAACCCTGGCTGCCCTAGCTATGAGGGTTACTTACTCAAGCTCTCCAAGCCTCGGCTTCCTCAGGTATGAAGAGGTGCTAATTCTTTCTCCTGGGGTGGTTGCACTTCAGAGATTACCCTGTAAACTCCTGGGGCTGGAGTTTAGAAGCCATCCTATTTATTTACCGAACTACCAAAGGGTGTGAGGGCCCCTCTCTTACCCAAGGAGCTCCCCAGAAACTCGAGTGCTGGTTAGTAAACAGTTTTGCCACGAGCAGAACCCAGGCAATGAAGGAAGCCTATTGTATCTTCTCTTAGCAAGAAACGCCCCCAGACTGGGGATCTGCAGTCCGGGGAGGTTCCCATCTCCCTTGGGAAGAAGGTTGGAAGATCTGGGACTTAAAAAACACCAGGGCTTCCTTCTGGAGCCTGCAGAGGAGTTCTCCCCAGGGAATGGCTAATTGGTATTTGGAGATTTCCCCTGCAAGTCAGCCCCAGGTGGGGAATCAGGCTCCAGCACCAGCCCCATTGGGAACCTCGCCCCCAGGGTGACAGGGTGGGGAGCCAGAGGGCATCAGCCAGGCCCTTGGTAGACTCCCGTGTCTTACAAGTCTGTCCCTGGGGCCTCTTGCCTGTCTGGGATCCCCATCCTGCCCACCTTAAAGGTTTATGTTGAGTGCAGTGTCTCTGTCCTGGAAAGGAGCGCAGGGAAACGGCAGACATGTTGGAGAGAGCAAGCAGTGCTCCAAGACAGCTCCAGAGGGGGCAGTGAGTGGCCAGATGCTGAGGCTCCCTTGCCCACCTCCCGACACTTCAGAGGGCCACCTGACAGGTCAAATGGGCTGTCCTTCCCCCCCCCCCCCCCCCCGTAGACAGAAGGACCGGTGTCTTTCAGCCTGGGAAGTTCCTGTTCTTTGGGAACAGGAGGACCTGGGGCTTCATCTGCGCATCCCTGGGCCTCAGAAGGTCTGAGAAATGTATGTGCTAGGGTGAAAATGGCGATGTCAATGGAGATACTTATCTGAAAGGATAGCCTGCCGGGGCACGCGGGGGCCTATGGCAGCACGCAGGGGATAGCGCCCCCTTTTGGCTGGTGCCAGGTAAGCACCTCCTGATGCCATGTATTAGGGCACTGAGGCAGGTGCCCCATGGGACTCTTCTGTCCCTGTGTCATCAGTGTGGGCCATAAGGCTGGGAAGAGGGTCGCTCCCTCCTGCCCTCCAGGGATCTGTTCTTTCTGGGGTTTTGGTCCAATGGATGCTGGAGGATGTTCCAAAACATTCTTTCCTTTCCTCGCCATGCCTCTCTCCCTTCCTCTTCTCCTCCTTTCCTTCTGTCTTTCCAGCGCTGCAGATGGAACACGGGGCCTTGAACACACTAGGCTAGTGTTCTACCACGGAGCTCCATGCCTGGCTTGGCTCCTAGGTCCTGAAACCCCCAGCTGACCCAGGCCTGCCTTGGAGGGTATAAAAAACAGGAGCAGATTCCTGAGGACAGCTGTCCTCCCTGTTCCCCACAAAGGAAAATAGTGGCCTTGAGATGTGCACAGTTTATTTTACATAGTGAGCCTGTGATTTTAAGGATGACTTAACTTCTGCACAGACCCCTGTAATTCATCCCACTTCTGGAGGGTGTGCCTGACCTTCTAGCCCTAACCGGAGGTCGGGGGTGTGTGCAGGGCCAGAGGGGTCATTAGGAGCCAGGTCATGGCATGGGTGGTGGTGTGTGAGTGGGTGCAACGAGACAGCCCAGCAGCCAGCACACCCTGGACCGTCATCCCCAAGTATGGAAACTTCTAGAAATAGCTGAAGACAACCCAACATGGAAAGCAAGTAGAGCTCCACATTGCGAATACAGGGAGACCACCCTGAATGTGAGTGGTCTGGTCTGACCCTGGGATCTAAGCAGGGTTGGGCCTGGCTAGTGCTTGGATGGAAGAGTATAGGAAGAGACTACAGGCGGGGATTGCTGCTGATAACTCATTTGTTTATGATGATGATGATGATGATGAGTGGTATTGAAAACACTGAAGAAGGAACAGGAAAGAGAGCTCAGCAGTTAAGAGCACTAGCTGCCCTTCTAGAGAACCCAGGTTCAATTCCCAGCACCCACCTGGAAGCTCACAATTGTCTGTAATACCAGTTCCAGGGGATCTGACACTGACAGAGACACAGATGCAAGAAAAACACCAATGCACATAAAATAAAATGTTTTAAATATACTGAGAAGAGACAGGTCTGGTAATGTAAACCTGAAATTCTAGCACTCAGGAGGCTGAGGCAATAGGATAGAGAGTTTGAGGCTCACCTATGTCTCAAAAGTAAAATGAAGGGCTGAGGAAATGGTTTAGGGCATAAAATGACTGCAGCACAAGCATCAGGACCTGATTTCAAATCCCCAGAACTCTCATGAAGCTAAACACGCTAGCACATATGTCTGTAATAGCAGCGCTCCTACAGCAAACTGGGAGATGGAGACAGGAAAGAGAGGGCCTAGCCTGGTGTACAAAAGAAGCCAAAAGACCCTGCCCCAATTAAAGTGGGGGAAAAAAGACAGATGCCCAAGGTTGGCCTCTCTCCTCCACCATATACTCAAGCACCTAAGTGGCATTCACACATACAAGTGCATGTGTGCACTCTTACACACACACACACAGAATGATTTAAAAGGCAATATATTTAAAAAATAAGTGGTGAATGGTGGTTCATGCAAACACATATACAAACCAAACACATGCACGCATGCACGCGCACGCGCGCGCACACACACACACCATTAAACAAATGAAATACCTCTATATTGAAAAAAGAAATCCCCTAGTCTATAAATGGAGTCCCGGGACAGCCAGGGGTCTTTTACACAGAGAAATCCTGTCTCACAAAAAAACAAACCAAAAATAAATAAATAAAAATTTTAAAATCCATAAAAACAAAGACCGGTGGAAAAACTTGTAATTTTAATATATGTCTGAGGGGTGGTAGGAAAAAAACTCCTAGAGCTTATTGTATCCCAGTTGGTTTGGTTTTGTTTTACTCTCCAGTTTGACACAAGCTAAAGTTACGAGGAGAGGAACCTCGGCTGGGAAACGGCTCCATCACAGTCCCTGTAGGCGAATCTCCAGGGGTGTTTTCTTGACTGGTGATCGACATGAATGTACTCAGCCTACTGTGGGCAGTGCCACCGCTGGGCAGGGGGTCTGGAGTTGGATAAGGACGCAGACTGAGCGAGCCATGACAAGGAAGCCATGGTATCGTTCCTCCACGGCCTCTGCTTCAGGTCCTGCCTTGAGGTTGCTACCTTGGGCTCCTTCCCTGACTTCCCTCCTTGATGCTGTGACCTGACAGTTGAAAGATGAAACAACCCCTTTTCTTCTCCAAGTCTCGTCACAGCAGTAGAAACCCAATTAAGACGGTGTGAACTGAATCGCCTAGGCCCACACAGCCTTGGGGAAGGGATGTCTTCTCTCAAGCAGCGATCTGCAAACAGAACCGCCTGTTGTCTAGCCCCTTCCCTTGTTCACACGGTGTCCCTTTACCCTACCCCTCTTTGCCCAGCCATCAGGCCCCTGCCTCTGGTATACGTACGATTCTAATCTCCCTTCCTAACTGCAGTCTAAGTTTGAAAGCCAGACTACCATTTCCTAAGGCACAGTTCTTGAACCTACACCTTCCTTTCCATATCCTCTACCCATGATCTAGTTCTGGCCTCTGACTCTGGCCTGGACCATGGCCGTCACCTCCGTGCCAGCAAGCACCCTTAATGCTCCCATTAAGCCTGCACATTGCTGCCAAGTTCACCTTAGGGCACCTCTTTGGTGCTGCCCCTGCTGGTGAGCAGAGTCTAAACCAGCCACTTTACCCACCTCCAGGCACTGCTATGCCCTGCGATTTACTTCATTCACCACTGACTTGGGTGGACACACAGGGGCTGGAGGAGGATGCTGGCAGCCGCGGCCGAGGCAAATCTTCCCGTCTAGATGCAAGACAAGGTGCTGCCTACAGTCCAAAGGGAAGATGGTTCACTCTGCAAAAGCATTCCCTTGACTTCATGCCCGTTTTCCCTGCCTGGGGGCTTGGCATATAGCCCAGCTGATAGACTGCTTGCCTAGGATGCAAAAGCCCTGGTCAGCACCGCAAGAACAAGGCGGTAATGACCAGTTTATGTAAACCCACTCCGAAGGTGGAAGTTCAAGGCCGTCTTTGGATGCATAGCAAGCTTGAGGCCAGCCGGGGCTACTTGTGACCCTGACTCAGAGATCAATAAAACGAGTTCAGGAGTCAGAGACCTGACAGGAGCTGAGATTGGGGTGGAGGTGTGTCTTACTGATAAAAGATACAGGCTCAGGGACTGAAGAGATGGCTCAGCAGTTAAGAGCACTGACTGCTCTTCCAGAAGGCCCAGGTACAGCTCCCAGCACCCACGACTGTCTGTAACTCCAAGGTCTGACACCCTCCCACAGACATACAAACAGGCAAAAACAACAGTGCACGTAAAATAAAAATAAAGAAATATTAAAATAATTTTTAAAAAAGATACATGCTGAGCAGGCACAGTGTTAACTAACCGATAGCCAGGCAGACCATAGTCCCAACCATTTGGGAGGCTGAGACAAAAGGATCTCTTGAGCCCAGGAGTTTGGAGAGTTGGCTCTGTGGTCAGTTGGCATTCACAGAACAAAACCTTTCACTCTTTCCTGACAAGAGAGGCCCTGCAATCCCCTTCCCTCATAAGTGTTGAACGACTTACTAGTCAGCAGCATTCTCAGTGACGTGGAAGGAGCAGGGAAGGACCAGAGGTCAGCTGCTTCATCTGGCGGCTGGTGATGAGCTAACGCCATGGCAGATGGCAGGGATACTGAGCACTTGCTGAGAGTGAGCGTCAGTCTTCCGGATGGGAAGTGAGGAAACAGGTCCCCCTTCTGCGACTTAGGGCGAGGGGCGTCTCTCTCCTTGTCCCCCAACTGCACTACCCTAAAAAGTCAGGTCTCTGGGCTCAGCATCCACCTGTAACACCCTCTCTTACCTTATTTTCCTCCAGGCTTTGAACCAGTATGGCTGAACCCCGCCAGGAGTTTGACACAGTGGAAGATCATGCTGAGGGCTATGCTGCGCTCCAAGACCAAGAAGGAGACATGGACCATGGCTTAAAAGGTCAGTGGACAGCCATGCACAGCAGGCTAGTCACAGTGGAATGAACGCGTTTGAAAATTCACCTCCTTAAAGGCGGTGGTGGCACACGCCTTTAATCCCAGCACTCGGGAGGCAGAGACAAGCGGATCTCTGTGAGTTTAAGGCCAGCTCTCATCTACAGAGCCAGTTTCAGGACACCTAGGGCTGTTACACAGAGAAATTCTGTGAAGGAAGGAAGGAAGGAAGGAAGGAAGGAAGGAAGGAAGGAAGGAAGGAAGGAAGGAAGGAAGTCCACCTCCCCAGACAGTGTGACAAGGATTGGGGGAGAGGCTGTTGTCACTCTCCGCTCATCTGGACTCTGTCAGACAAGCATAGGTTGCTCTGGGATTCCGAGTATATCCATATTAATGAACTCCACCAGGAGTGGAGCATGGCATGGTGGCACTGGTCTGTAATTCTAGTACTCACAAAAGCAAATGCAGGAGAATTGCTGCAAGCCCAAAGCCAACCTGGTTTATATAATGAGTTTCAGTTCAGCCAGGACTGCATAGAGAGTTCCCGTCTGTCTCAGAGAGGTGGTTCAAGGATTCGGAGCACTTGCGGCTCTTCCAGAGGACCTGAGTTTGGTTCCCAGCGCCCACATCAAGCAGCCCAGAAAAATCTGTTGTCCCCAGCTTTGGGGAACAGACACCCTGTGCATATGTGGCATTCGCAGATTCACACACATGCATAAATAAAAATAATAGAAGTAAAATGTTAAAGCACTTCTCAAATTTACCTTAATTAATTAAAACTGCAGTCTATAATGTAGTCTTCTGGCCACACTGACTTGGCCCTGATCTCTCCTCCTCCAAACTCACTGGTTGTCCATTTCACTGTGTACATGTGTTCGGAAGCTGTGGGGGTGCTCAGACACACACACACAAAGTTCTATGCTAACATTCTCCACACCTCCTCACAAAACAAATCCAGTAAAGTTCTTCTATACTAATATACCACACACACATACACACACACACACACACAAAGTTCTATGCTAACACTCTCCACACCTCCTCACAAAACAAATCCAGCAAAGTTCTTCTATACTAATATACCACACACACACACACACACACACACACACACACACAGAGGAAGGGGGGAAGGGAGGGAGGGAGGGAAGGAGGGAGGGAGGGAGGGAGAACATTGAAATCGATACCCCTTGGAAGGTTCTGTGAAACAAAAGTGTGTTGTCCTACCCATAACTGTATTTGCCCCCCAAAAGCCAAAGAAAAATGACATTTTCATCAAATTAAATCTTGCTACTAAGGGTTTAGAACAAGCTGTTTATAGGGTGGAGTGACAGCTCTGACTTGGCAGTCACAGTCCTAACAACAGTTCAGATACGTGACAAAAGACTGTTTTGAATAATGACAAGGACTACACACTGAATACCAGAACAGAAAGTGTCAAAGTGAATGTTAAAAGTTGGAATAGAGCCAGATCCAGCCAGAGTGGCTGTGGAGTGGGGTGGGGAGGGTCTCACATGCTCATGAATTCAAAGGTGCTGATATGTGCACTTTCCAGGCCTTCGCAGGGAGGCTTCTTCTCCCTCCTCCCTCCCTCTAAGGATAATGCACACGGTGAGGATGGGGGTACAGAGTGAGTCTGAGGTCGGCCTAGGATACCAGAGACACTGTGTTAAATCAGAGGGAAAATATAACAAAGGGCCCTTGGGCTACGGTTTAAGTGGGGCTGTGAAGTGTCTCAGCCCTCACTGCTTGAACTCCATCTGCCCTTCTGCTTTGCATGTAGAACCAGCTCCCGTCCACCACCCCGGAACCCCAGAATCTCACTGTTGCCCCAGGGACAGCGTCTGTCTCCACTGAAAGTCCCAGCCACACTGCAACCTAGCTGGTGCCACCCATGCTCACCGTTCCCCACCGCCGGCTCACCACAGCCCTGCCCAGACTTCACATAGCACCCTGTAGCTCCCTGCGGCCCTCCCACCCTCTCCCTTAGTCTAGAACTCCTGGACACCAACCTCAGGGTTGCCTCCTGTAGCTTTGTGACCGGAACATGCTCCCCTCTTTGTCCAGTCGTCACCAAGGACAGAGAGGCGTTTGTTTTGGTTTTGGCTTTCAAGACAGGGTCTGTGTACACAGTCCTAACTGTCCTGGTACTCACTATGTAGCCCTGGCCGGCCTAAAACTCGCAGAGATCCGCCTGCCTCTGCCTCCTGAATGCTGGGATTAAAAGTGTGTGCACCACCACGCCCAGCCCAAAGGCCATTTCTTGTGACAGTATTGCCTTGGCAAGCAAGGCCCTCAAGCCGATATCTCCCAAACCTGTGTGTGTACACCCAGCTAGCTGAGACTGGTCCTAACTCTTCGAATGGTTGAGGAAAACAGCCATCATGATGCGTGGCTTCCATCTTCAAGCTGTTGCATGAGTCAGGAAGATGTTGCCTTCTAGCTAGGCACAGCTCTGTCCTGAATTCTATCTGAATTCTGTTTTCAAGGACAGCAGATTAAATGGGCTCTAGGTGGGACCCCTTTGTCCAGAGAGTGGGTGCTCAGACTGTGCCTGATGGGGGTGTTAATCCCCTGTGGAGCATGAGGTGATACTAGAGTGTCCCCCGTGGCCAGAACCCATTCGTCCATCTGATACAATGGTCTGCTGGCTCTTGGAGCCTCTAGGGATTCCTAGCCAACAGCCATACCATAACAAAGAAAGAAAGAGAGGGGAAAAAAAGAACCTCACACATTCCTCTCGATACACTGTGAAAGCGGGAAACTTCTACCATACCGAGGTGAGTGAGTTCACTGAGCTGAGCGCTGAGTGGCTGTGACCTGAAGGCTGAGAGACCACAGGAGAGGCCTTTCTAGATTAGCTGCCAAGTTGTCCATGTAAGGGCCTTTGCCTCAGTTGTCTCAGTTGGACCTGGGTGACGAAAAGTTTTATCTTCTCCCACCAGGAGCAGATACATATCACCCACACCTTCATCCAGGGACCCCAGGAGTGGAGTATGGTTGGGGGGGGAGCAGGGGCCTGGTCCCTTCATTGTTTGATCATGAGGCTACGGTATCCACACCGAAGGTTCCTCTTGAGATCTGAGGGCTCACCGTATGTGTTCCAGCGTCTCCCCCGCAGCCCCCGGCTGATGATGGATCGGAGGAACCAGGGTCGGAGACCTCTGATGCTAAGAGCACTCCAACTGCTGAAGGTGGGGCCTCCCTCCTCCCACCAAGTCCTACAGCCTGTGCTTCCCTTGCTTTGAGCTACCCCTCCTGTCTGGCTGCACACTTGGCGCAACCCTCCCGGCTGCACTCGCTGCTTCCTGTCCTGCTGGCTGAGATGCGATTGCTCGGTGCTTCACGGGGCCAGCAGTGCTTCTATGCCTGGCTCAACAGTGTGCGCATTGAGCATCATCATCGCGCCTACTCTAGGTGATCCATGCTTGCAGAAGCTGGGCTGAGCGGCACAGCAGGGCTCACACACAGCTCAAAGGGCTCCCATCCTGTCTCCATGACCCTCCGTGACCCCCTCAGAAGCCCCACCTTACTTTTCTTTCAGGTGTCAACCAGAATGGTGGTTTGACTGAGAAGGGGGCAGGTCAGACGTCTCCCTTTTCAGGAATGGCTTTGGTGGGGCGTCTTCATTTCTTGGGCATGGAGTAGGTTTCACCTCTTCTAATCTATCCACTCCAGATATTTGGCATCTGGGTTGTCGTGAAGCTGCTTGTCATTTTCCTGAAATGCTTCCTGGTCTCTCTTGCTTCACTTGTGGGTCAGTCAAGACAACCATATTTCGCCGGGCAGTGATGGCGCACGCCTTTAATCTCATCACTTGGGAGGCAGAGGTAGGCGGATCTCTGTGAGTTCAAGGCCAGCCTGGTCTACAGAGTGAGTTCCAGGACAGCCAGGGCTACACAAACAGAGAAACCCTGTCTCAAAAAAGGAAAAAAAGGAAAGACTATCATATTTGGCTGCAGGAAACGGGAAGCCCTACTAACTGAAGAGGCTTATTTGTCTGGCAACATAAGATGTCTACACATGGGTATAGCTCCCTAGTGTCTTTTATGTGCTTCTTACTCATCACCCGCCATCCTAAGAGGTCGGACTGTTGCTTCATAGTTAAAGATGGCTGCCGCACTCCCAAACACTGTACCTGCCTTGGAACCAAGAACTGTGGCTGGTGAGATGGCTCAGAGGATAAAGGTGCTCACCATGCAAGCCTGGTGACCTGAGTTCAATCCCCGGAACCTGTGGAAAGGAGAAAACAGACTCCACAACACTGTCCTTTAAGCTCCCACATGTCGTCATGGCATGTGCCCACAAAGACACATATGTACATGTTCCATAATGATGAGTGAAAGCTCCAGGTGATGGTGGCACACACCTTTAATCTCAGCACTCGGAGGCAGAGGCAGGTAGATAGCTGAGTTTGAGACCAGCCTGGTCTGCAGAGTGAGTCCCAGTACAGTCAGAGCTACACAGAGAAACCCTGTCTCAAAAAACCAAAACAGTAATAATAATAGGCAGAATTTAAAAAAGATCCAGTATAAAACAAAGTGGCCAAAAAAGACCCCAAAGCCAGAATTAAGAAGATGAGAGCTTTCTATAAGTCCAGAATTAAGAAGATGAGAGCTTTCTATAAGTCCAGAATTAAGAAGATGAGAGCTTTCTATAAGTCCAGAATTAAGAAGATGAGAGCCTTCTATAAGTCCAGAATTAAGAAGATGAGAGCCTTCTATAAGTCCAGAATTAAGAAGATGAGAGCCTTCTATAAGTCCAGAATTAAGAAGATGAGAGCCTTCTATAAGTCCAGAATTAAGAAGATGAGAGCCTTCTATAAGTCCAGAATTAAGAAGATGAGAGCCTTCTATAAGTCCAGCCTGGCAGTCTCCACCTGCATCCATTGACCAGAACTGGGTGTGGCTGGTGAGACTGGGGATGTTGGGCATCTTGTTTTCAACATACTGAGCAGGAGAAATCAAGGGGAAAAGGGCATTGAGAATGGCTTCTATCTAACAATCCATAATACTGTTCTTCCGTCTCCCTAACCTTCCCATGAGGCTGGAAAGTCCACACTTTCTGCAGCTCTGCACATTGTTTGGGAGTTCTGTTAGAGAATGAGAATCTGGCCTCCAGATCTCCCCCCAGGATCTGCTTGTAGAAAAATCCAGAACATGGCTGTCAAGCTCCTGTCCAGTGCTTGGCATTCTGGCTCATCCCTTAAGGATGCAGGTGGCATAGCCCTTCGCCTGGTGAGAACATCCTGGCCAGATTCCCTTTGCCGTCCCAAAACCAGTGACGCAAGACATTTCCTGCTCGTCCTGTTAGGACAGTTCTGCAGGCTGTCTACCGCCCTGAGAAAGCCCTGAAACTCAATGCCAACCCTGGCGCTGGCTTCCCAAACATGGCTTTCAGTACCCTGTCAGCGTTGTCCTGGAAGAAACTCCCACTCACGCTGTCTGGACCTGTACATGCGTGGGCCCCACATGCCTCACTCGCCCTCAGGGAGGGAGGGAGCCTGGGCTGAGCTTTGCTAGCAGTTAAATCTGCACCAGAGAGGATCATAGTGAAAATGGCCTTTGTGGACTAACCTGTGTGGAATTCTGGGAATCTCTTGGAACTGACCACTCCTCAAGGTGTGTGTGCCTGGCATGCCTGGTGGAGAGACAGAGGGCTCCAGACGACTTCTGAGCCAAAGTGTTTCCCTTGAAGAGATGCTGCCCCAGCTCCTAGCCCGTGATCCTTATCTCTTGCCTCCGCAAGGAGGCTGGACTCTGTACAGGAAGGACCTGGCCCGGTATGTTGCCACCTTCGGAACTCTGTGCCTTTTGGGTGTTGGCAGGACAGGGAGATAGAAATGATAGAAGTTTTTAAGGTCACCAAGAGATGGCGCTCCGGTTCTGTAAATGCAGAAGCAAAGGCTAAGAGGCCACAGTGCCTGCACCAAGCCTGGCAGGAAACCACAGGCTCCTCTTCCTCAGCTTCCTCACACTGCCTGGGTCCCAGCCGCGTGCACCCTGGATCACACAGCTGCCTTCAGGATTTCATCGGTTCTCTCTAGAACCTCCGGGGAATCGGGCTATGTCCGTTGTAGCACTTACATGGCCCCTCTGGGATTTCCAGGCAGGCGGCGTGGTGCCAGCCTTCTGTTAATGTACTTCCTGGGGAAATGGGAGGAGGGCTGTGGCCCTGCTTTGAGCTGGCTTTTCTTGCATGTGGCTGGCAGGCCCTGTCCCTGCACTGCCGCTGTATAAACAACAGAAGGGTGACTATTGGTGGTTTCCAGACGCGACTGCGCCCCTAGTGGAAGAGAGAGCTTCCGACAAGCAGGCCGCTGCCCAGCCCCACGTGGAGATCCCAGAAGGAACCACAGGTGAGGGTGACTGCCAGAGCCCCAAGGCTTCCCCGGGCCCAGCTGACCCGCTTTGAACAGGTCATCCTCATTGCCAAGTGAAGCAGATGTGTAAGTGACTCTGGCTTCTGGGGGCCTTGGCTAAGTCAGCGGTGGCTGCCTTGGAGTCTAGCAGCTTGCCACAAGAGTGTAGGGTCCTCTGGTTCCTGCTCGATCCTGCCTCAGGCAGCATGTCAGTTAGAGATGTTCTCAGCAAGATTCTCTGGGGAAAGAGGCTAGACCTCTCTGCCTTCCTCACACTTTCTCCAGTTCTAGCTATAGCAAGTGGCAGGTTGCCCTCAGGGGACAGTTTACCCCTGGGAGCACCAAGCACTGTGTAGTGACCACATTACTAGATCTTTCTGAAGGTCTAATGGGCTGGCCCTGGAGTTCAGAAGTGTGACCACATGACCATTTCTAGGCCTGTGCTGACTTCCAACCCTGTTTTTGTAGCCTGCCCCACCCATGGGGGGGACGATGGAGAATTGGTCAGACAGCAAGCACACCAGAAGGGAAAGCGCTGCTGGGCTTGGGGCTGCTCGGGCATTCTAAGTCAGCCTGTCAGGGCCCTAGGTATCCTCTTCCTGGGCTCATGAAGAAGTCTAGCATTGGTGGGATGAGCCTGAGGTGCCCAATTGCCTGCCACGAACTGCCTAGTCGCTGTGCACAGGACACTGTGGCAATGGAGGGGAAATGTCCCTTCCTGAGAACGGGCTTTCTGCAACCGTGCTAGTTAGCTACTTTTCCTTGTGGTGACCTAACAGAGAAGCTTACAATCTGTTCAGGCTCGTGGTTTACGGGGATAGAGTCCGTGTGGCAGGGAAGGCATAGCAGCGGAGGTGGCAGTGACTGGTCACATTGCCTCTGCAGTCAGGAAGCAGAGAGAGATGAATACTGGTGTTCAGTTGGCTTTCTCCTTTTTCCCCAGGACGTCAGCCCATGGGATGGCGCTGCCCATGTTCAGGGTAGGTCTTCCCGCCACAGTTAAAGCTTTCTGTGAATACCCTCAAAGGCAAACCCAGAGGTGTGTCTCCTCCCGGAGGAGGAGTGTCCACACCCAGAGGTGGTTCCAACCCCATCAAGTTAGCCTTGAAAAATAAACATCATAGCCGCTTTCTCACACATCCACTGAGCATGCTCATTACAGAGCAAACAGTGCCCTCCTGGTCTTTCAAAATGTGTTTCTGCTTTGCAAAGTGATGGATTGGCAGTAAGGTCTTCTGAAGCAGGTAGACCAGATGTCCTGAAAGCCTGGCCAGGCCTCAGCTTTGAACATGAAGGATGCTTGAAGGTCATGGAACACCTTATAGGGTGAGGTCATGAGTGACTTGATTTTTGTCTCTGGCTATCCCTTCAAAGATCTGTCGTGGAAGAAGTTTGTCTTCTGTCTGGGATGAAAACTCTCCGCTTTCTCATCTCTCCTGGGTAACCAGAAATGCTTTACAGTCTTCATGGCTACAAACCAGCCTGCAAACAGATGTAGCTCAGTTGATAGAGTGCCTGGCTTAGCATCCATGAGTCCCAAGGACTTGATCTCCACCCTGTTATAAACTGAGTGTGATGAAGGGGGGAAACCATCACAACTGATAAATGCTCATCAGAAGGGCCAGTCTGATGTGACGGTCAGGCCCACAACCGTGTTCTAAACCAGCCCCTACCCTGGGCTAGTGAGGGTGGGTGTGTGGGAGAAGACAACACAGCTTCCCACTCCCTGCATGGGCTTAGAGGCTACTGTTTCTCTCATGGAGACTGTATTAGCTTCTCAGACGTGTCCAGCTGCCTGACGGAAACAGCAGGGGGAGGGAAGCCTTGTTTTGTTCATGGGCTCAGAGGGTTCATGGCTGTTTGATTCCGTGGTCTCGGGCAGAGCATTGCAGTAGCCATGTGTGGAGCAGAGGAGCACGGCATTGGTCGTGTTTCCCCTTCATCAGCTTTCGTCCATTACCGCCCCGCCCCCGCCCCAGTCCATGGGCTGCTGCCACCCGCATTAGGTCCTCACTTCCGTGAATCCTCTCTATAAATCCCTTCAGACATAGCCACAGGTACACCTCAGCAGTCCCTGAGGTGGTTCCAAATCTAGGCAAGTTGACTGTGGATGTCAACCACCACATAGACCTTTCTTTAACCCTTCCAGATTCTTCCCTCTCAACTCCGGTATCCGGCTTCTGTGAAGATCCGTGCCTCTGCCGCAGATTCTGGGGCCCGTGTCATCCCTCCTCTCGGGGACCCAGCTAAAGTGTCACCTCTGTGGAGGATGACTCATTCCCACTAGTGACCCACTAGGCCTGACCTAAGATGCCCCAGTGCCGCCTCTGACCCATGCCCATCTTAGCTGCCCCTCCGCTAGGACAATTCTCCTTTCTTTGCTCAGCCAGCCGTCCCGTCCTGTTGTGTTCCTGGGCAGAGCCTATAGTCCACCAGATCCCAAGCCAGAGGGAACTGAAACCAAGTGTCTGTCTCTAGGTGGTGCCTTGAAGGCCGTGGAGACAAGCTAGGCATGCCAACACATGGCTCTGGAGAGGCTGAGGTGGGAGATCAAGAGTTCAAGGCCTGCCTGGGGTACACAGTGAGGACTTCGCAGCAGCATCCTGTGGAGCCGCTCCAGCCCCAGGCCAATCGTCTCTTGGTGGTTTAGAGCTGAGCAGGTTTCCAGCCGTTGGTGGAGCTGCTGCCCCACTTGGCACTCCCATGAGCACATGTTTGCTGCTCAGGAAAGCTGCCCAACGATGCTGTGACTTCCCCCTACAGGAAGCCTGTCTCCCTGGAGAGCAGGGAACCTGCACCTCCCTGGAGTTGCTCCCCCATCCCCCCTCCCACCGCCCCTCCTGTGAGCATTCAAAGTTGCTAGTGATACACCATTTTAGTCTCACAACCCAGGGCAGGGTATCACAATCCTGTACTGGAAGGTGAATAGATCCCCTAGGGCTGGGACAGTGACAGAGTTCCCGGGTGCCTCCCTAACGTCTGCTAAGGACTGCTTAACTGAATTTGCTGTCCCTCTGAGCCTGTCCTCCACTTCCATAATCTTGCTCAGGCCAAATCCACACTTGGACTTTGCCTTCCCAGACAGTTCATTGTTGTTGTGTTATCTGACAAGGAACTGTCACCAAAAGGCCTCCTGGGCAGCACAGAGGACCTAGATGTGTCTGAGCTGATAACTGGTGGGTGGAGAGCTTCCAAGTTCACCGCCACCTCCCCGCGGCCCCGCCCTCACTCAGCCATTTGGCTAGGTGCTTACCGGACACCATGTGACTGTGCAATGACTCAGTTCTTTCCTTGTTGTGCTGACCTTGTGTGGCAAGTGAAGTGGACACTGGCTTGAGGGTTAGGTGCAGAGACTGAGCACCTCAGTCCAGAGGCAAGGCTGATGGCCCAGCTGGCACTGTGTGAACATTTCTCGAAGGCGGCCGCCTCTGGTGTGCCTCGAGGCCTTGAGGTCAGCATGGGCCAGCTTGCTTTATAAACCCCACCTGTGGACCTGTGTGTGTGTGTGTGTGTGTGCTGTCCCACAGCTGTGTCCTGATTTCTCCTGTGTTCTGGAGATAAGCGCTTACTGACTGGAATACTGCTCATGTGGTCTGGAACTTTCTCAACCTTCTCTATTTGCCAGAAGAGGACACCGGATTGAATTGTAGATGGTTGTGAGCCACCATGTGGTTGCTGGGAATTGAACTCAGGATCCCTGGCAGAGCAGTCAGTGCTCTTAACCTCTGAGCCATCTCTCCAGCCCAACCTTCTCTATTTGGGTTGACTGTGGGATCCTTAAATAGAACTCAGAGACCCAAAAAAAGCTGCCCATTGGCCCCCACTGGCCCTGTGCCAGCCAGGTAATGCTGGTTTCAGGTGTGACATATGTGAGGTTTGAAGGGAAGACTCTTAACAACCTGAGGCACCTCCTGCATGTCAGGCTCTGTCCTCTGTCACTGTCCTCCTGAAAGACAAACCCGAGTCACCTCCTTAAGGCTCCCAATGAGGAAACAGGCCCTGAGAGGCCAGGCATGTGGTGGCTGCTGCGTCCACACCCCAGCTGCCTGACCCCAGCAGGCGCCATCTCCCTCTGAGCCCCTGTCCTCCCAAAGTGCTGGTCAGGGCAGGCAATGCCACCGCTGTAACTGTCTCTGGTCTCCTGAGTCCTGGCATCTTTGTAGAGCCAGGCAGGACAGCAGGACCTTGGACCCCCATGGAGAAGCTCTTTCCTCCTAGGTCACAGTCACCTGGAAGGTGTGGGAGTGCTGTCACCACTGTCCCTGGCCTTCTCGGAGAAGTGGAGCACAGCAGCCCACCCTGCAGGGCACACCTCTCCTGCATGTGAGAAACCCAAGGTACAGAGAGCACGGATTGCAGCAAGTACTAACTGTATGCTTCTGTCCCCTCCCTCTGCCTCTGCTGCTTCGGTCGGACCAGCTGAAGAAGCAGGCATTGGAGACACCCCCAACCTGGAGGACCAAGCCGCGGGGCATGTGACTCAAGGTCAGTGGCCCCAATCATCTCTGGGACTGGGGGGGAGGGGGATGGGAGCACTCAGCAGGCTCTACCTTGAAAAGACATCTTAGCCCTGGGCGCTAATTTACAAGTCCAGGAGACCCCGAGGGAGCCATCTTTATCAGACATGGGCTCTGTGGACACAGAAGTTTTCTAATACCATTCTGATTCATTCCCGGGGCATGTGTGGCGGGGTATGGGGAGTTCTGAAGGAAACAGGCCTTGCCTAGCCTGGGGATGAGCACTGTGGGTGATGCTCCCAAAGTGCCCTCTGGCCTGTGAGTCCCATCACCACGAAACTTGTCCATTTGACCTTCCTTCTTCACACCTTATTATAATTTTCTTCTCAGGAGCCAAACTGCTGTGTTCAAGACAAGTTGTTTTCTGCAGCTGTTTACCATAGATACACTTTTAAAGGAGTTTAACCCTTAGAGAGTCACCGGGCGGTGGTGGCGCACGCCTTTAATTCCAGCACTCAGAGGCAGGTGGAGCTCTGTGAGTTCCAAGCCAGCCTGAGCTACAGAAAGTTCCAGGACAGGCTCCAAAGCTACAGAGAGAAATCCTGACTCAAAAAAAACAAAAACAAAAAAAAATCATAGAGGGTCTTGACTTTAGGAAATGGAGACTTCAATATAGATAAAGCATGAGTTGGCTTTGTTTTCTATTTTTCTGGATCAATGAACTTGAGAGTGTCCCGTATGACAGGGAGGCTTGTAGATGACAAAGGAGCTGGGAGATGGAGTGATGGAGGATTTGTCTTCTGTTTAGTAGCGCAGGCTGCCTGTGAAGGACTCTGTTCACTGACCTCTAGCCTAGTTCATCCCCCTTTAGGTGACTTGGACACTAGCTCCTGAGGAGGAGTTGGGGAGACATTTTGTCATGGTCCTGTTTACCTTGAGCCTTTCCTCCACTCCCTGTGAGTCTGTGTTTTAAACAGTTTGGTTGGTTGGTTGGTTTGCTTGAGGTAAGGTCCCACGTAGCCCAAGCTGCCCTCCATTTGTATCCAAGGATGACCTTGAACTTTTGACCTGCCTACCTCTACTGTTTGAGTGCTGAGGTTGCAGGCGTGAGCTACCCCAGCCAGTTTATGCCGTGCTGGGGATGGAACACAGGGCTTGCTGTGTGCCAGGCAAGCCCTCTGATAACTGAGCTTCGTGCCTTCACGGTCACTGAGTAGTTTACAGTGCCTCGAGGAGTTTTAATTATACCTCGAGGAGTTCCTCATCAGTTCACAAACACAGCAAAGCATGCTTGCTGTGTGTGTGTTTACTGCGCACGTTTTGAGGGCTCGCCTCAACTGGAATGGAATCTTTGAAAGCCTTGCACTATATCAGACTCAAGGACATCCCAGTCAAAAATAGTTTCTGGGGAGCATTTTCTTGAAGGTAGTAGAGGCCCGAGTCTGTTGGCTGGTATCATGGCTGGTGGCTGTCTTGGTCTCTGGTCCCTGAGCCATCTGGTACTGGGTAGCCAGACCCTGCTGGTTTCCCACATCTGTCTCTGTTGCTGTCCCCCTACTTGAGACAGACCAAGGGCCTCAACAAGGCACCTGATAAGGAGCAGAAATGGCTTTTTCCAGACAGTAGCTGTCCTATGTAGGATGCATTTATTGATCAGTTGTCATGTGATAGCCTTGACACTGGGACCACATGTGAATGTAACTGTGAACTCAATCTGGCATAAGGAAGGAGAGGGCCAGGCTGGAGTCGGGTCCCTTGACAGTGAGCCAGCCACACTGAGTCCCGCTGGGTTAGAGAGAGGCTTAGTGTACGGATTACTTGTGTGTGTCCAGAGTCACACATGCATGTGGATACCCATGTTCTCCCCTCCCCTCCCCTCCCCTTATCCAGATTTCTCTTCTGTATCCTCAAAGCCTTTGAGATTATAGGTTTTGTTAGAGAACTGGGGAGTTGTTTGGGAGATATTTTGTTGGGACCGGTAGGATGTTCAAAAAAAGTTCAGAGTTCCGTAAGTGTGGTGGCACATGCCTGTAATCTGAACACTTGGAAGTAGAGATCGGAGAATCAGGGTTTCAAGGTCATCCTTGGCCTCTTAGTGAGTTTGGTACCAGCCTCAGGTGCAGGAGACCCTGTCTCAAACAAGCATCAAACACAGCCAGAGGATGTTTATTGAGGACCTTGGTAAGACTCAGTGGGACACCTCCATCCCTAACACACAGCCAGATACTCTGAAGAGGGTTTTGTGTGAATATCATGTGACTGATGCAGGAAAATAACAAAACAACAGCGTGCTTAGATCAGCCGAGCTGGTGGACAGTGTGCTGGGTGAGCAGTTAGAGCAAGGGTCCCAATGATCCTGCCTCACCTGAGGCGAAAGGCAGGCCATGAAGGGTGACCACAGACCTATAAATGTGCTGCAGTTCCATGCAGTTCCGTATGGTGGGTCAGTTAACCAAGCTCCGTGCTGACAATCATAGCTTGTGAATTTTCCAAATCGGAGCAGGGCTAGAGATGCCCACTGTCTTCACCTGCCCAAAGGGATGAGGGAGGGGGAGAGAGAGAGAGAGAGAGAGAGAGAGAGAGAGAGAGAGAGAGAGGGACCACTGTCATAATCCAGCCAAGGCCATCTGGAGCCTAGAATCTTCTGGGAGCTTGGGTTCTGCGAATGGTAGGTGAACATGCATTGGATTTTATAATCACATGCTGGGTAACCACAGATATGCCAGCAGGCTCTGGCCCAGGTGAATACCAGTGGGGACTCAGAGGTCGCCAAGGACAAGAACACAGATGCCCAGAGAGTCATGCAGCAAGCTAGTGGCAGACAGACCAAGGGAACATTTATTCCAGGCAATAAGCTGGGCCTGAGCTGAGTCCCGGTCTCTGTTGGTAGGGTCCTGGTAGCCTTCAGGGGTCTTTACTTACGGCAAGTACTATGGTCCCCTTTAAACAATGTCTGTGCTCTTGTCAGCCGTTTGTCACCACTGCCTCTTCAAGCCCTGAGAGGTTCCTGAGCCAGAAACTTAGTGCTCAAGCCCACAAAGCACAGGCGTTTCTGGGGTCTCACCGTCACCTCTAGGTGACAAACAGTCAGGGACTCCGGACTTGTCAGTCACTCACTGTCCCCAGGAACACCCCACCTGCCCAGCCCCTCTTCCACCAGATAGACCTCAGAAGCCCATCCAGGAGTGGAGATCAGAGCCTGCCAAGGGGGGCCTGCCCATTCTGAAGCCCTCCTCTGCTGGATATCTCCACACAGAGCCAGAGAAGGTCGAAATTTTCCCAGAAAGTTTGCTTGGAGGGCCAGGGCGCCAGGAAGGCCAGGCTCCAGACTCAGGGATCTCAGATTGGATCTGCCAACCGGTGCCTAACGTGTCTGGGGCTCCCCTCCTGCCACAAGGCCTCAGGGAGGCCACGTGCCAACCTTCGGGGACAAGACCTGAGGATGTGGAGAGAAGCCACCCGGCCTCTGAGCTGCTGCAGCAAGAGTCACCTCAGAAGGAGGGATGGGGCAAAGACAGGCTGGGGAGTGAGGAGGAAGCAGAAGAAGATCTTGACATGGATGAGTCATCCCAGGACTCCCCTCCCTCCCAGGCACTCCCTGGCCCTGGGAGGGCTGCCCCTCAGGCTGTCTCCAGGGAACCCACTGGCTTGCCTGGGTTCCCGGTTGAGGGTGCCATCCCACTTCCTGTTGACTTCTCCAAAGTCTCCATAGAGACTCAGGCCTTGCAGCCAGAAGGGCCTGACACAGGGCCCATGGAGGAAGGGCATGAGGCTGCCCCAGAGTTCACATTCCACGTGGAAATCAAAGCCAGCGTGCCGAAGGAACAGGATTTGGAAGGGGCTACATTAGTGGGGGCCCCTGGAGAGGAGCAACAGGCCCAGGGCCCCTCTGTGGGAAAGGGTGCCAAAGAGGCTAGCCTTCTGGAACCATCTGAGAAGCAGCCCACGGCTGGCCAGCCAGGAAGGCCAGTCAGTCGGGTCCCTCAACTTAAAGGTCTGTGGTTTAAGTCCCCTCACTCCTCCCCTGGTGCCCTCCAGGCTGTGGACATCTCACTGAGCTTCTGGCCTTCCTTGACTCCCGCACCCTGAAATTCCAGGATAGCCACTAAACCCACCGCCTGGGCCGCGGCTGCCTCCCCAGCGCCTGCCCTGCAGCCTCTAGTAGCACGTATTCCTTTCACGCTTGCCCGAATTCTGCATGTCACCGACACCTGGCCCTGTGCTTTCTGTTCTGTTTTGGTCTCTATGCACTCGACACACCCACCATGGTCCACCAGCCCACCAGAGGTTGGTAGTCAGTCATACTACATAGAGTGGATAACGGCGTTCCTCATTTTTGAGGACTTATGATGTATTTTTACATTCACAATCTAGAACCTTCCCAGCACTCTGAGGAGGCATAATTGGCCCCACTTTTCAGATGAGGAAACTGGGCTCAGAGCCGGAAATTGGCCTTGAGATAAACACCCAGGAGTAAGTAACGGTTGGAGCCAAGTTCAGAATCCAATTCGGGTACATCCTCTTGCCATGGTCCCTCACACTGCCCTCCAGAAGATGCTAGAGTGTGTCCTCCTGCTGCAGAACCACCGAGTCCACCTGCCTGTCTTCCGATGCTCTCATCAACAGACAGCATGTCCCATTTGACAGGTGACAGCCACCCCTGTGGAGGTGGCTAACAACCCCCAAACCTCTCCCCCATGCTGCTTGCAGCAGGAATGATGAATAAAGCATATCTTCCAGGTCCAAAGTGACACTCGTGTCAGTCAGGGACAACCCTGTCAGTCAGTGTGCAACCCCATCTGGAACCCTCTGGAGGCTGCAGGGTGGGAGCAACCTCTAGGCAGCAACATGCGTGGCTTTACGATTTTTTAGAATACTTGGCATTTGGGCCTTCCGGTAAAGCTACTTGCCACCAAATCAAATGATGTAAGTTCCATCCCCAAGACCCACATGGTGCAAGGACATGCTGCATAGAGATCAGAGGACAGCTGTGGGAGACAACTGTCTGTCCTGTGACCTTCGTATGCATATGGTGGTGTGTATGTGGTACACATACACTCACACTCTCTCTCTCTCTCTGTCTCACACACACACACACACACACACACATGCATTCATGTGCTCTTGTACAATAAATAAATAAATAATGTCAGGATAGACTACTTGACATTTTAGAATTATTTGCAGAGACTAGAACCCGAAGCCTCCTAATCACAGAGTCAAAAGCATCTATTAACTATTGATTAAATTCTACTTATAGAAAACACTCCAATATCATAAATAGAACAGCCTGTCAGGATGGTGGCACAAGCCTGCCTTTTCAGCACATTCCAGTTAAGACAAAAGGATCATTGCAAGTTTGAGGCCAACCTGGACTACATAGTAAATTCAAGGCTAGCCTGGACTACATAACAAGATTGTGATTTTTTTGTTTTGTTTTGTTTTGTTTTGTTTTTAATCTGAACATGATGCCACATGCCTATAATGAGCACTGCACTCAGGATGGAGAAAAGGGGGCAAGGATGAGTCCTTGGATTTCCCAGATGTGTGTGACGCCACCTGCTAACCTCTCCCAGAACAGGGCTTGTTGAGGCCTATGTGGGCTCAGGAAGTGCTGGTCTAGCAGGCTGATTTCCGGTAATGGCGGTGGTAAGCCTGTTATTCCAGTGAAAGAATTCACCAACACAAGAAGTGGGAAAGTGTGTTAGCCACGCTGTGCAGATGCAAAGGGCAGAGACTTCCTGCACAGAAGCACTCTAAGGAACTGCTCTCACAGGTGGAGCTGGGAATTAGTCATTCTAGGGGACCGCTCTCACAGGTAGAGCTGGGAATTAGGCAGTGTTCTGAGGTGTTTTGGGTGTTCCAAAGTCACTGAGCCTGGGAACAACCACAGCTGGAGCTCTGGTTACTAGTAACAGTCTGGCCCTGCAGAAATGGTGGGTTTTCCCCTGAGTCAGAGTTGGATCGGCACTGCCATTTGTCCTAAACAGATACACATGGTTAACAGAGAAGCCTGAGATTCACTGAATTCCTACCGCAATGCAGATTCCTAGGTACCCGTTGGTTGCACACCCAACCTCAGTGCACCCAGGAGTCTGTATGTCACCTCCCCAGGTGATTCCTCCACAGTAGAACGGGGACACCCTCTGGGCTGGAGAGACAGCAGCACCGGTCACTCCAGAAGCCCAGTCTTCTTCACCTGCAGGTTAATAGTGACACTCGGCTTCTATGAGCAGAACGTGGCATATTTGAAGGGCCCTCAGGAGTGGCAAAATGCCCTCAGGGCTGTGTCAGAGTAGGAAGGACTCCGAGAAAGCAGCTGGAGCCCGATGTGGAAGGTCCCTGTTAGTGAGCTGCTCTGGGTTGTAGGTTGGACTCCATAAGAAAGGGGAGGACAGCCCCACTAGGCTCCTCTGTTCTGGAGTGGAGATTGGGATGGTCAACATAAAATGGCCAAGAGTGTGAGGCTGAGGACCCTTCCGGGGTAAGGAAATAGAGGTGGCTTCACCCTGGCCTTGAGGCTCTAGAGGGTAAGCGGGGATCTCACGGGATAGCAAAGCCAAGTCTGGCCACTGAGAGAGAGAGATCCCTCACTGTGATTCTGCTGTAGTCTGGACCCAGGCTGGGCTGTCCGGTTCACGCCTTGGGGCGTTTAAATGGCCCTGCATTCAGTGTGGCTGAGAGAGTGACCTGGCCACAGCCACATGTCAACATGCACCTCTAACAGCACCTGCTGCCTTCCTGCATGTCCCCACCCTCAGCCAGCCTGCTGCCCCCTCTCGCCGGGTTGCTCTGAACAATGGCCCTGTGTGCTGTGTGATACTAACGATGATATGAGAACCTAGTAGATTTCAGAACTAAGAAAACCAGCCGGGTTGCAACCAAAGGGAATTCACGCCACCAACCCTGAGCTCTGGTGTGTCTGCAAACCTTAGGCACGGGGGTCACGTGCATCCTTGTTTTGTATTTTATCAGCTCGAGTGGCCGGTGTAAGCAAAGACAGGACCGGAAACGATGAGAAGAAAGGGAAGGTAAGCTACTGACCAGCCAGTGTCATTCGCCAAGCAGCTGTTCGGCACGCCTGTGTTTGCTCTCATCTACCGTGTGTGGAAAGGGTTGGCCGTTAGAGCGCAGCTGTCATTTAAAGCTGTTGCTTTTCACAAAGGCAGTGTCTCTGTCTTGATACAGGGAGGGGTGCTCACCCCCATGCCCATGTCTTGCCATTCCCTCAGAGTTTAACATAAAGGGGTGTGTGAATTTTCTGCGGTAAATTTGGGGGTTAGTGCTTTTATCCTTACCACCACAGATCTAGGCTCAGTAAACATAGAAATGTTAATATTCACAGAGCACATGGGGGTCAGAGAGCCATGAGCAAGGCAAGAAGTGCTCTCCAGACAAAGGCAGGGGGGATTCTGGGGGAGCCCCCAAAGAGGAGAACTGGGGGGGAGCCATGCTGTGGTTGCAGCACAGCAGGGAACAGCAAACCCAGGAAGGAGGAAGAGACTGCTGAGTCTGGGAGGATAGGCAGGTGGCCTTGTTGCGGATTTGTATGCGGGGCTGCCCTGGGTTCTGAATTAGTGAACCTCCTTGAAATGAAGTGTGGAAAAGTGTGGGTTGGAAAGAGTGGTTTAAGGAAAGCCCTTCTCAGTCTTCTGCAACCAAGCCCAGCAGATAAAGCAGCCTGCTTGCCCCAGACCGGCACCCGAGCCCCACCTTGTCCTCGTGTTTTATCGGTAGGCCCCTCGCTCCGTGGATTTTTATCTTAGGAACTCCTACAGCTATGCAGTGGCCTCTTCCTGGAAACCCTCCCACACCCCACCAGCCCAGCTTGGACCAACCAGGCAACTAGTGTGAAGGCTGCCAGGAACATCTAGCCCATAGTTGGCGCCAGATCCCCCGGGAGTCTCCAGATGTGGATGATGGTGCTAGAATCTGGTAGCAGGGGTTGAGGACCATTCCCAGAAGGCCCTGTTCTGCACTCGTTAGAACTTGGGTGCTTAGAGAGAGAGAGAGAGAGAGGCAGCCCAGCCTCGTGCAGAAACCCCCGCCGCACTTCTTGAAGCGGGAATGATAACTGCTTGTCAGTCAAGATGCTCATTTCACTCTAGAGAGAGGGGCAGGGAGTTCTGGCCTCGTGCTTGCACGAGTGTGCATTTGTGTGCTCATTCAGCCCAGTCCCTGCCCTGGATTGGCTCACACCGTAGCATGGGGCTAAACCTACTACAGATCTACGCTGGGTAGAGAATGCCCCCTACGTAGGTCTTATCCAGCTAAGGAACAAGGGGTCCCAGTACTCACTCTAGTGTTCCCCTGTGAAAGCAGCCCCAAAGTAGCTGTCCCTTGAGCTCTCCTCCTGACACTGGAGACACAGACTTGTCCCCGGCCCCTTCCGTGAGGGCGTGAGGTAACACACCAGAAGAGCATGGTAGAGTCTTCAGTCAGGACTCCAGAGCACCCCACACTTGGCCTCTCAGTTCTTTCTCCCCAAAGGTCTGGTCTCACGCCCTGCCTTACCAGTGCCACCCTATTGAGAGTCCCCAGAGGCAACCGTGAGTGTCAGCCTTCAGCCCTGAGGTGCCCTGGTTCAAGGAACCAGTCCTTCTTGGAGAACATCCAGCCACATAGACACTTATTTCCTGAGGTGGAGTGTGTTCTGGTGTTAACTTTGGACAGATCGAAGCCCTCTAGGTAGCATTAAGATTAGTTTTATTCAAGTCTTTGTTTAATAAGAAAGAAAATGTGTATGTGTATTCATGTGCTTGTGCATATGTGCATTCGTGTGTGTGTGCACATGTGTGCATGTTTGTGCATGTGCGTGCATGTTTGTGTGTGTGCGTGCATGTTTGTGCGTGTGCCTGTGGGTGTGTCCTCAGTGACATCAGACAGAAGCTTTTTGTTGACTCTGGCACAATCCTCCTTGAAGGATTAGGATTCTGTTGGCATGGTGGAAAGAAAAGGTGGGTGTCAGTGAGCCCCGATGGGTGCACCCCCTGAGGTTGAGCCAAAAATGGAATGCCTCTGACCCATGCCACATTGGCGCTCTTTCTTGAGAAAATCTTGTTGTCTTTTTTCTGATGGTCTCTATGCACTTACCAAGAGGGAAGCCCTTTTAAGCCAGCATTCTCCAAGTAGGAGGCACAACAAGGTCCAGGTTCTAGAGAAAGGATGTACCAGAACGTCTATTGATGTCCAGCAACTCTTTTAGAAGTTCAACGCTATATGCCAGAGAGTGGTGGTGCGTGCACACCTTTAATCCCAGCACTCAGAAGCAGAGGCAGGTGGATCTCTGTAAATTCAAGGCCAGCCTGGTCTACAAAGCAAGTTCCAGGACAACCAGGGCTACACAGAGAAACCCTGTCTTGAAAAACAAAAACTATGTGACTTTTATTATGTCCATCCCATGTCAGCTGTGTGGCACGTGTGTGGCTGATAGGTGACAGTGCTGTCCTTTCTTCCTGGAAGGGCAGTGGAGAGGACTGCTTTGAGCTGTAATATGCCTTCTTTATGTTTAGGTTGTTTTTTTTTTTTGTCCTGTTTTTCAGTTTGTTTCCCTCCCCCATTGCTGACTTTTATTTTGATTTTATTTATGTTTATGTTTAAGACATCCACACCTTCCTGTGCTAAAACCTTGAGCAATAGGCCCTGCCTTAGCCCCACACGCCCCAGTCCTGGTAGCTCAGACCCTTTGATCAAACCCTCCAGCCCTGCGGTGTGCCCCGAGCCAGCCACCTCTCCTAAACACGTCTCTTCTGTCACACCCCGAAATGGCAGTCCTGGAACAAAGCAGATGAAACTCAAGGTAAGGAACTAACCTTCGGTGAGGCGCAGGCTGCTGTACCGTGCTATTCAAATGCTTTCTTTCTTCACCTAAATTCACAGGCAGCACTAGATGGTTGAATAAGAGACAGGGAGGGAACTGGGGACTAGAGCCTATGCTTCCTGCCTCCCTCTCCCCTCGAAACAGTAGTCCCCAAGATAAGCAGGGGACCCCAGTTTGAAAACCAGGGCTCTAAGTTGATCGTGGTACCTGATGCCTGTAACCAACCCTAACAACACTAAGGAAGATTCTTGTAAATCTGAGGCTTGCGTGAGCTATAGAGTGAGCTTCAGGCTAGCCTGGGCTATAGAGTGAATCTCCATTAAAAAAAAAAAAAGAAGCCATGTGTGGTGATGCTTATCATTTCAGCACCCAGGAATAAGAGGTAGGGGATCAATGCAATTTTACATAGAATGACTCTTCAAAAAATAAACAAAAATACCCAAGTGGGGCACACACCTTTAATTCCAGCTCTCGAGAGGCAGAGGCAGGTTGCTCTCTGAGTTCGAGGCCAGATCTATAGATCAAGTTCCAGGACAGCCAAGGCTGTTGTTATATAGTAAAACCCTGTCTCCAAAAACCAAAGTTAATTAATTAATTAATTAACTAATTTTAAAATGATCAAGAAAAGCCTCGCTGGGAGGTGGCATACGCCTTTAATTCCAGCACTTGGGAGGCAGAGGCAGGTGGATCTCTGTGAGTTCAAAACCAAGTCTGGTCTACAAGAGCTAGTTCCAGGACAGCCTCCAAAGCCACAGAGAAACCCTGTCCCAGAAAAACCAAAAAAAAAAAAAAAAAAAAGCCTCAGCTCCCTCTAGAGTTCCTATGGTGACTGGCCATGCCCCCAGCTGGGTGGTATGGCCTCCAGCTGCACCCATCCCAACAGCTCCTGCTCTCCTACCTTCCTCCAGGGTCTGGTGCACGTGGTTTCTCTGTGAAGTTCATGCACGTCTACGAGTCACTACTGACACCAGACCTGTAGTCACTCACAATCAGCTAATTGTGTCTGCTCCACCTCTGGCTCCCAGCCCTTAGCACACATCTAAGGAGTCATGGAGACCCCAGGGCCATGGAGAGAGAAGGCATGGCTTGGCTGTGGAGGCTTCTGTTGGAGGCTGAAGTGCAAGTGTCTTCGAGGGTCTCTGGTGAACCCATCCTCCATCAGCCACATCCATAGTGCAGTCTGGAAAGGCGTGTCCCCAAGTCATGGTCTTCCTGGGCCAGCCTGTTGATCTACTCTGGCCCTGATCTTGCTCCAAGCACTACTTTTATGACATAGACTAGCTCGCAATTCATCTAAGAGGAAGTAGGAACCTGATACTTGATGTGCGGGGGAACTGGGGGGCTGTGTGCCCTACAGACCCTCAAGACCGTACAAGACCCTCCTTCACCTTCTTCCAGTCAAGGTGGGAGGGTGGGGTTGACCCTTTCCTTGGTGATGATCATATTTCCCAGTGAAAACCTCTTACCTTGATTCGGTTTACAGGGGGCCGATGGTAAAACCGGAACGAAGATTGCTACACCTCGGGGAGCAGCCCCCCCAGGCCAGAAAGGCACATCCAACGCCACCAGGATCCCAGCCAAGACCACACCCAGCCCAAAGACCCCTCCTGGCTCAGGTGAGAGCGCTCTCTGGAGTGTTGATCCAGAAGCTTCCAGAAGGTGTGACCCCTGCCTCAGGCGACCACCGACAGTCAGTAACTCCTGGCACTGACTAACACCTTGCAGTTTGTTGAGCATGGGAGCGTTTGTCTTCTTTTTAGTCCTTTGACAATTGTCTGAGGTAGATAATGAACCTTTAATCAATGAAGAAATCTTGCTCATTTTGAAAGCATGATGATGAACGCCGGGTGTTGGTGGTGCACGCCTTTAATCCCTGCACTCTGGAGGCAGAGGCAGGCAGATCTTTGTGAGTTCGAGACCTGCCTGGTCTATAAGAGCTAGTTCCAGGACAGCCTCCAAAGCCTCAGAGAAACCTTGTCTCGAAAGAAAAAAGAAACTGACAAAAATCCAATCACATGGCTCATGAGTGGCAGGGAAGGTGCACTCACCCTAATCTATGGCTCTGGGGAGGCAGCCCAGCGTGAGGTGTTTTCAGGTTCCCTGTCTCTTTGGAGGAGCAGTAGCCTGGGCAGGATATCATGAGGGATCTCTGGCAAATCAACCTTGCAACTGCGATGTTAGGAATCTTCTAGCAAAACTAAAGGGTTTTAGCTGAGCAGTTGCACGCTGTGGTCATTACTCCGGCCTCCTGTAAATAAAATCCAGTTGGCATTGAGATCCTGGTCAGGCTATGGCTGTTTCAGGTCCAGTAGAGATACCAACAGCAGAAACCCTGAGGACCTGCTCCAGAAGGGACTTAGATGCCATGTGACTGTTGTCTGGCATGCATTTGCTCCCTAGTGGTGCCCAGGAGAACTGTGGTGTCTGGCCTGGCTCTTGGTGTCCTTGCTCACCTGGCCTGTGGTGGCACCTATGGCCTGCTGCATGCCTCTGCCTGGCGTTGTAAAGGGTGCTGCCTGCCGGCTGGCTGGGCTGCGTTTTCACTAAGTAACTGTGTGTCTGGTGTGTTTCTTGTTCGCTGATGATCTAGTAGCATTCATGACGCATCTGGCACATCTCCCTCAGTACTGTGCTGGCCCCACTCACACAGAGGCTTGAAGCAAGTGCTCCCCTTGCTCCTCGGATCTCACCTGTCCTTAGGTGGCTCCATGTTGATGGCTACGTCTTCCTCACTGGTCCCCGCACCTGTTCCTGCTTCTGTCTCTTATGCTAGGTGGACCAGCCAGACGCTGCCACCTGAAGTACTCACAGAGACAACTGTAAGCCTGATTATAATGAGGCTGTCTGTGGATTTTTCTTTTTAAGCTCCCAAGCAAGTGCAGAGAAAACTACCCCCTGCAGGGGCAAAGTCTGAGAGAGGTAATTCTGGGTAGTGGACCCTGGGTGGGCAGACCCTCTTAGTGTGTTCCGCCCCTGTGCTGGGAGGGCCTGCTGCTTCCAGCCCAGGCTACCCCAGAGAGGCCCAGACTGGAAAGATCATGTACACTTTTCTTCTCAAGTGTGGTTTGTACTGTGGGCATCTGTGGACTCACATTCCGTTGTGTTGTTTGCGTTTACTTCAGGAACTGGGGCTCTTTATGGGATGGGGAACTCTGTGCCTGGAGACATGGGCTGACTTTTTTGTTACAAATGGTGTTCCAGGGCTGGGTGATGACTCAGTGGTTAAGAACACCCGGCTGCTCTTCCCAGAAGACCCGGGTTCAATTCTCAGCACCCACATGGCAGCCCACAACTGTCTGTAACAGGCAAACCAATGTACATGGAGTAAAAACAAATAAATCATTAAAAGAAAAGAAATGGTATTTCACGCGGACATGTTACAGACAGATGTGAGCCACCATGTGGGTCCCAGGAATAGAACCTGAGTCCTCTGGAGGAACAGCCAGTGCTCTTAACTGCTGAGCCACCTCTCCACCCCTATATGTCCTTCTCAAAATAAGGTCTTGAGGGCTCTGATCTCCTGCACCTTTCAGATGAGGACATGGGTATAATGGGGTCACTGGCTCACCCCCAGGTTACTTCCCAAGTGTCAGGAAAAGAACATAAGCCACCACCATCCTGTGTCCCTGGAGACATGGAGGCAGAGCTAAGCCCATAGTGTCGGTGGCCTCGCATATCACAGAACTTGATGGCTTTAGGGGTTCCTAAGACTTGGAACTGGAGACTGAGCGCTGGTGTTTAGGCGGAGATTGGCAGCAGTAAGTACGTTTGCTATGGTGCTTCTCCTCGCTGTAGGCTGAGAAAGGCCAGTTTTGCAGGCCTCTATCAGATCTGGGTGGGAGCCCAAAACTTTGCATATCCCAAGTCCCACCTCCCACTAAGAGGTTTTCAAACACGAAACAAAAAGCCCAGGGGTGTGGTGGCTTGATGAACTCTAGGTGTGTCTGAGGCGCCCTGACTATTCTGAGAGAAGTGTGTGGGTGAAGGACGCAGGGAGGAGGGTGGCCAGAGCCTGCCGAGAAGTCCGGGCAGCCTTCCTGGCCACCGATGGCATTGGGAGAGGTGTGTGGAACAGCAAGGTGGGATTCAGCAGTGGGGGGGGGTGGGGCTTGTGTGGAAAGCTCTGGGCAGGTGGTTCGTACCTTGTTCTGCAGCCCTACAGTTTGAGGGGCCCTGGATGTGCCCGACAGCCTCAGACCTCCACTGTGGGGGAAGGGTCAGGAGGATCCCAACCGTTGCATTGCCTCAGTTAAGGAAGGACAGGTAGCAGTGTGTCTGTGGAACGGCACCCAATCACTTCCTTTTCCAAGGCCAGGCCTCAGCTCAGTGACGTAGAATGCATCTCCTGACTTCAGGACACTTGGGAGCTTGGGGATAGTTAGGCCTTCCCTGAGAGGACGTACCATGTGTTGGAGCACAGATGAGAATAACGTTGCTTTAGTGGGAAATAGTGCTCACCGTATCCAAGTGACAGGGCGGGAGCAGATGCTTCTCCACAGATGGGCCTCTCTCAGAGCTCCCTCTGGATCCTCGAGGTAGGGGGCCCCCAGTGCAGTGGCCTCAGGGACTTTGCAGACCCCGCATCCACCTGGCCTCAACTCCTTCCTCTCTCCCCACCTTCCAGGCGAAACACCAAAATCCGGAGAACGCAGCGGCTACAGCAGCCCCGGCTCCCCTGGGACCCCTGGCAGTCGCTCCCGCACCCCATCCCTGCCAACGCCACCCACCCGGGAGCCCAAGAAGGTAGCAGTGGTTCGCACTCCCCCTAAGTCGCCATCTGCCAGTAAGAGCCGCCTGCAGACTGCCCCTGTGCCCATGCCAGACCTGAAGAATGTCAAGTCCAAGATTGGCTCCACCGAGAATCTGAAACACCAGCCAGGAGGTGGGAAGGTAAGGGCGTGGCCAGTCATGCGGTCGGGTCAAGGTGCAGCCTCCAAACGAGCCCAGGCGGGCCTCAAGACAGACTTGGCTTCTGCTCCCCCAGAGCACACAGACCACCAAAGCACTGGCTCCTCCTGTCCTCCCTTTAGCCTTTCTGATCGGACAATAGATTTCACTGGGTACCGCCCAGGTTGGGCCTGGCTTTCTCCCTCGGTTCTGGGGAAATTTGAGATTCTATGGCTTTCGTGAAATTTCTAGGTCCGGAGGCACCCCCTTCCTTGCTTTCCATCTGAGCGTTGCTCAGGTTGACTGACATGTCCTCAGGGTTCTAGAATATGTAACTGAGAGAGTATGTGAGTGTCTGCAGGCCTGATTCCCCCAACACACACCCAATGAGTTTGTCCTGAGTCCCTCCCCTGTGCACCCCGGATGTCTCACTCCAGTCCAAGTCTCATTTTATGAAGACGTTAGCCCTGTGGGATTAGGGTCACTCTCCTGACTCATTTCAACAGTCATTGCTCTAAAGACCTTATCTCAAACACAAGTCATTTAGAAGTTAGGGTGTCAGCATATAAATGGGGAAAGCATAGTATGTCCCCTCCCCACCCGGCACTGGGGTAAAGGGAGGCCAATGAGGGGTGTGGACCTGTGTGCTTGTCTTCTGGGCATCGTCAGACTGGGGCAACACGCCCTCTGAGGTGCTGAGGGCCAGTGCCCTCATCAGCAAAGCGGACACTCTCCCCGCTGCTGAATTTGCTTGGGGCTAGTCGCTGGAGAGAAGTTGGCTATGACCCCCAAGGGCACCTTCCCTGAAGCCCTGTGTTTTGTTGTGGGGAAGCCTTCGGCCCTCCTATTGGCTCTGCACAGTGTGGTTTGTATGTCATGTGGGTCAAAGGAAACAGGTCTGTCTTCTTTTCTCCAACCTAGCACTCAGGAGACAGGGTCAGGTAGATCTGTGAATTCTAGTCCAGCCTGGGCTATACAGTGATCTCCAGGCTAGCCAGGGCTGTATGTGAAACCCTGCCTCAAAGAAGAAGAGGAAAAGGAGGAGAAGGAAGAGGAAGAGGAAGAGGGAAAAATCCACAAAGCCACTTGCTCACTCTGAGGAAATTGAACAACAAGGTCTCAGTGACTTCTTGTAGCAACAGAGACGTGGTGTCCAATCAGCATCTTCCTGGGCCCAGGCCCAAGCCCTGGAGGACTGGTAGCCACCAGCTGCCTACACCCCCCCCCCCCCCGACAGGATGAAGCATGGGTGTGGAACTGTATCCTCCCAGGGAAGAGATCAGCGGGCAGAAGAGGATATGTGTTCAGAACGCCTTGGTCACAGGCAGCCACTGAGCGCTGCTCCCACCCCTGCCTGAGCCAGGCCTGTGCAAAGGCCCCGCTTGTGGAGGAAAGGATGCTGGCCGCTTATTTGGCGCTCACTTACTGCATTGCTGGGGATGCTGGAGGGAGGTGAAAAAAGCGTCCTCTCTCTGCAGCAGCAGCTCCGGTTCCCTTAAAGATCCCGGGCGTCACCATTGTGGCTTTATGTGTGGTTTATAGAAAGAAAAGTTCTCGGGACCCCCATGACTCAGTCAGCAGAGTGACTTGGAAGCCACGGAGACTGGTCAGCACCACAGCTGCCATCTGTCCTTTGACTTCATGGGCTCCAGACTTCCGGTCCTCATTCTGGTCCTCATTCACTTCTCAAAGATGACTGCAAGGGCCAGCAAGGCGGGTCAGAGGGGAGAGTTCATGCCATCAAGCCTGATGATGGAGTCTGATCCCAGAGCCCACATGGGTGGAGAGAGAACCGACTCCTGCGGGTCATCCTCTGATGCGTGTGCACACACGCGTGCACGGCAGATTAAAAATGTCAAAACAAAAGCACGTGAGCTCCTGGAAGCTGCATCTCAGGACCCCTGTGATCATCACTGCCCTGGGTGTCAGGACTTAGGGCTGCCCAGAGTCTACGAAGTACCCTGACGCCATGATTCTCCCACTTTCTTTCCCAGCTGAAGTACCCAGACTAGGAGGCAGACCCATCAGGGCCTTTGGGGGACACATAGCACACAGTACCCGCAACCCAGAGACTCTGAGGCAGACACAGCCTCTCTTTCCACCATGCCAGATGCCACTCCAGTGTCGGCGGCTGCCAGGCTCCTGTCCATTCTGCCCCTTTCCTGTTTGTACCCCTCCTTCCTTGCCGTTGGTTCTGGTCCTGGACGGCGGCTCCTCCAGCACTGTGTCCAGGGGTCTCTGACTCTGCCAACCCCAAACTGGGCCTCTTACCCTCACCTCTGCTGACTACCCCCTGGGAACCTCCGGATTTTCCTTGCCCTGATCTGTGGGGTCACCTTCAGCCTAGAACACCCTCCCCTCGTCTCTCTCTTCCCCCTGGGAAGTTCCCCCTGAACTCCCCTGTTTAAGTAGCCTGGAACACCCTGATATGTGGTAACTGAAAGGAACTCTGCATCCCATGAGAGATTACGGGCAGTGAGTCTTCGCGGAACAGAGCTGCTGGGTGTCATCAGAGACTCGGCGGAGCCTGCAGTGTGGGTGGAGGGTGGCTGTCTTGTCAGCCCCTGCCCATTGTGGGGTGGCTTGCCAGGCTGGGCAGTTCTTTCCAATGAGCACGAGGAACTGGCCTGGACGGGGAGTACAGCATTCTGCAATGTTCTAGAAGGAAAGGGGTTGGCTGGCATCTCAGGAGCTGTGCTGGGTTGTGAGGATTTGCCCATATCCGCAGTGGGGTAGAAGAAACAAAGTGACTTGCCCTGGGACTTCAGGGTGACAGCATGGGGAGTGACAGAGTCAAGGAACGGCCTCCCTCACATTCTATGAGGGCAGGAGGATTGTCTGAACAAGCCCTCAGCCCTGCAAGCAAAGAGCAGCACAATGGCAAGTCATTTATTCCGGGTTGGTGCCCGAGGCCTGTAACACCTGCTGACAAACGGTCCAGAGAGCTGAGCTGAGCTGACATTTGGGTCCCTGAAACGTTTGCTTAATGAGACCCTATCTCAAAATAATTATTGGCCATGAAAGGGCAAAATTCTAAGAGTCTGAAGAATAGGACCAGAGATGTGGCCCCATGAATAGAGTGCTTGCCTAGCATGCATGAGGCCCTGGGTTCAGTCCACAGCACCGGATAAACACTCCACAGTAGAGTGCAAACAGTAAATCCCAGAACTCCAGAGGAAGCAGGAAGATGAGAAGTTTAAGGTCCAGTTCCACTACTTAAAGAATTCAAGCATGGCCTGGGTTATATGAGACCCTGTCTTTATTATTATTATATAAATATAAAAATAATAAATATTTTTGTTTGCTTTTCGAGACAGGCTTTCTCTGTGTAGCTCTGTATATCAGGCTGGCCTGGAATTCACAGAGATCTGCCTGCCTCTGCCTCCTGAGTGCTGGGATTAAAGGTGTGTTTGCAATCCTAGCACCTGAGAGGCTGAGGCAGGAGGCCTAGCCTGGGCTCCACACCAAGATTGTTGATTAGAAAACATGTAAAACATGTCTTTCTTTCTGCTATGAGCTTTTTCCTGGGCTTCCATGATTTACTGCTATGAACATGATTTTGCCACAAGACCCCACAGTGAGGTGGTGTTAAAGGAAAACGCAGCCAGTCAGAGAGCCTCACCAGAGAGCACAGAGAAAGAGTGTGGAACTGGGAGACAAGAGTCGCAGCCACTTGGAAGTTCTTTTCAATGTTTGATGCTGTTGTCTACCCCACCAACACTGTATGCCCCAGGGATGGAGCCCACCCCCATTGTACCCCTCAGGGTTGGAGCCTGCTACCCCACCAACACTGTATGCCCCAGGGATGGAGCCCACCCCCATTGTACCCCTCAGGGTTGGAGCCTGCTACCCCAGCCTCACTGTATGCCCCAGGGATGGAGCCCACCCCACCCCCATTGTACCCCTCAGGGATGGAGCCTGCCTAGCCCCTAGTACCACCCAGGGAGGGACAAGAGTGTTTCCAGACTGAGGCCCAAGGCCACCATGTTCTTACCTCCTGGCTTTTAAAGCCCATCCCAACCTCAGGGGATGCCTGTCCCCATTTGCTGGTTCCATACCTGCCTCTTGGACTCAGACACAGCTGGGCCAGCCCTGGGCCTCCATCCCCATCCAGAGTTGAGAGGAGAGAGGGGGCAGTTCACAGTAAGATGAAGGACCAGCATTTAAAACATTTTTTAAAAAAGTATTCACTGGAGCTGAACATGATAGAACATGTCTATAATCCCGGCCTTTGGGATGCTCAGCCTGCTGTATGTGCAGCAAATGCCAGGCCTGGCATGGCTACATCAAGACCCTACCTTAAAAGAATTTTAAAAGGAAAGGAAAAGGAAAAGCTATTGTTCGTGACATCTCATGCCCATGCCTCTAGACCATTGCTTCTCCACCTTCCTCATGCTGTGACCCTTTAATGCAGTTCCTTATGTTGTGGTGACCCCCAAACATCAAGTTATTTTCCTTGCTACTTTGTAACTGTAATTTTGCTATGTTATGAATTGTATAATTAAATATCTGTTTTCCAGTGGTCTTAGATGACCCGTGAAAAGTTTGTTCTACCCCCAAAGAGGTCTCAACCCTCTTTGAGAACTGCTGCTCTAGAGAATGGACCCCTGGGAAGCCCACCTTAGATCATTCTGTCCCGTGGTTGCTCACGGAGCATGGAATACAGCAAGTTCTTGGAAAGGAGGAAACCAAGTACTCACCCATGACTGTGGCGCTTGGGAGGTGGATGAACAAGAATTGGTCATTCAAGACTAGCCTCAGCTACACAGTGACTTCAAGGCCAGCCTGGACTACCTTCATTTTTTTAATTATAGAAATTCACTTGTGGGTTGGAGAGATGGCTCAGAGGTTAAGAGCACTAGCTGCTCTTCCAGAGGTCATAGGTTCAATTCCCAGCAACCACATGGTGGCTCACAACCATCTGTAATGAGATCTGGTGCCCTCTTCTGCTGTGCAAGCATACATACATGCAGAACACTATATACATGATAAATAAAATAAATCTAAAATAAAAAAAGAAATTCACTTGTGACCAAAGGTATTAAATAACAGGAGGTGATAATAAAGTAAGAGATGGCAGGACAAGCTAGGGGTGTGGCTCAGGACCCCCGGTCCCATACTGACACTAACACCAAAACTGTAGCCTGGGATCCTTGAGAGTACACCTTGTTTTGTTGTTTTAAGATATGGTGGCTCACTGGGGCGTTGGTGGCACACACCTTTAACCCCAGCACTTGGGAGGCAGAGGCAGGTGCATCTCTGTGAGTTCGGGAGAGCTAGTTTCAGGACAGCTTCCAAAGCTACACAGAGAAACCCTGTGTGTGGGGGGGGGGGGGATATGGTGGCTCCCACCCATAATCCCAGCACTCAGGAAGTAGAGGTAGGAAAATCAGGAATTCAAGGTCATACTTGGCTTCTGAGTAAGTCCAGAATTAATTAATCAACAGATAAATGCTTTCACATGAGGTCTACTTGTTAAGGGTTTAAGTTTCCCCAGTGATCTATTTAGGCCTTAAAGAAAAATAATTAAACACCAATTGTGATGACTCATGCCTATAACCCCAGCACTTGGTAGGCTGAGGCAGGAGAATCTGTAGTGCAAAGCTATGTAGCTCCCTCTACATAGCAAGTTAAGACCAGCCTGTCTCAAAAAACTAAATACCACTAGTACTAATGAGTCAGCGAGATGGCTCAGCAGGTAAAGGCAGGTGGATTTCTGTGAGTTAAGGGTCAGCCTGGTCTTCTACAGAGTGAGTTTCAGGACAGTCAGGGCTGTATAGTGAAACCCTGTCTCAATAACAAACAAAAAAACACAAAAAGTTGTACTTCTCTTCTTTCCTAACCTGCCTTTGGCTAGTGGTCAAGCATGGAAGCAGTCAGGTTAACCGAGCAGGTGGAGCACTCCAGGTCCCACTCAGGACAGAGCCTGGAAGCACCAAGGGCAGAGGGTTGTTATATTACAGATGACCGCAAGATGGCGATGGTGCGCTATAAACTGTAGAATTCGTTCCTGGACCACCCACAGTTTTTTGCTTCCTTCTCTGGGAGTGTGTTGTGATTTTCTGAGTGGTCCTCTTTCCTGGTCCCTTGGTCTTTTTCTATCTCTCATCTCTGTCCATTTCTTTGTTTCTGTCTGCCCGTCCTTTTTTCACTTTACCACTGGTCATACGGAAAATACGCATTTTTAAAATGTGTGTGTGTGTGTGTGTGTGTGTGTGTGTGTGTGTGTGTGTGTTTAGAGGTGGGACACAACATATTCACTGACACAGAAAAGAAGTCATCTTTTTTTTTTTTAAGACAGGAACTCATGTGTTCCAAGCTGGCTTCATGTGGCTGGGGGTGGCCTTGAACTTCTGTTGTTGCTCTGCCTCCCAAGTACTAAGATTGCAGACTTACGTTGCCACATCCAGTTTTATACAGTGTGAGGGCTTGAACCCTTAAACCCTTAAAGCATGCTGGGAAAATCCTCTACCAACTGACCCATGTCCCTAGCCACTGTTGAAAGGACAGCCTTAATAGTGCCTGGCCTTGGTATTTCATTGCCTTTTACAGGTTGGCTGGAATGGATACAAGCAGGCTTTCTGCAGCCATCCCCAAGCTGATCACCTTGGACTTCAAGGCAAGGCTTTCTGTGGGCCTAGTTACCCACACGAGGTTATTTTCCAAATGGGGCATTGCCCTGGCCCACTGTCCAAGTGAGTGCCAGCACCAGCAGTCTGGGAGCTCCTTGGTCTAGAGGCTTGGGGCCAAGAAGGGATCCCCTGAGAATTCTAAACCCAAGCAGAACAAGAACAAAGCCCATCAAGGACTTGAAACAGCTTTGGGGTCTCTGGGACCCAGCCAGGTCCTCGGGACCACTCCCTGGCCACAGAAGGGCCCTCAGATGGGAAGGTCCTACTTTCCCTCTGGGTAGTTCCAGTGTCTAGTCAGAGCCAAAGCCCAGTACAGTAGAACCGTACTGCCACAGTTGCTTTGATTCCCATTTCATAATGCTAACCACTGCCCTCTTCTCCATACCCTGTAAATCGGAGCCCCAGTGAAGGGCATTGGCTTAATGTGGCCGCTAACAGGAACTCGAGGCTGCTTTGTAAATATCTATCTAGTGCCAAACCCCACAAAAGCATGTTTCCTCTCCTGTGGCGTTAGAATAAGAACAAACCACCCAGGGAGCAGAGGGGCTGGGTGTCTCTGTGTGTTACAGACCGTGTGTGATTGCTTAATGTCCTTTGACTAATTTGGTTTCTTTGTATCCAGACAACAGCCACCTTCCTCCAAAACCTGTTTTGTCAAATAAGAAGTTATGTAATCAATCGTGTTTCCTTTTTTTCATTGGCTTCCAGGAAGCTCAGTGCTGAATAAATATAATAGCACTGAACGCCTATTTCATTGACCTCCCCTTTATTGTAACGTCATCCATTTATGTCTACTTGTTTTAACTGAGTGTGTGTTTTCTTTTTGTTGTCTTTGTTTTTTGAGTCAGGGTTTCTCTGTGGCTTTGGAGGCTGTCCTGGAACTTGCTCTGTAGACCAGGCTGGTCTCGAACTCACAGAGATCTGCCTGTCTCTGCCTCCCGAGTGCTGGGATTAAACGCGTGTGTGGTTTTCCTTTGTTTTTGAGACAGGGTCTCATACAGCCTGGTCTACAAGAGCTAGTTGCAGGACAGCCTCCAAAGCCACAGAGAAACCCTGTCTCCAAAAACCAAAGGGGGGGGGGGGCGGGGGAGGGAGAAAACCACACACACACTCACTCTCTATCTGGGGGTGAGGGTAGGGGGGTGCTATAGCAATAGCAGCTGCCATCTATGGGCAGTTGCTATGCGAAGGCTCGGCTCTCAGGGTACCCCGGAGGCAGATGCATTCACCTCCTACATATTCTGGGAAGTCTGTTGTCAGCAGCCCCAGTTTGTGGGTGGGGAAGCTGAAGTACAGAGGGGCTACACAGCTACCCAAGACCAGCATTTGAGTAGGGTTCACACCCAAACTTTTAGTGCCAGCCCATGCCCTCAACCAGGAAGCACTTGCCCATGCCTGGAAGTCACCTCGTGGGTGAGAGCCAAGCTCGGGCAGCACAGCAAACTGGCTTTGTCAGCAGAGGGCCCAGGGAGGACTAACCACCCTTTCAGGAGGCCATTTGGAGGGTTAGCTTGAGAGTTTCTAGAACACTTATCATTTTGGCTTACAAATCCTATTTCTAGGAGTCTATGCTATGAAAATGATCCACAATACAGAACATTTCCTTCCCAAAATATGTTCACAGTGGGCTGTTAATACTGCTTAACACTGAGTTAGTGGAAATATTTGGTAGCCCAGGAACAGTCCATACAGTGAGGACACTTTTTTTTGGTTTATTTGTTTGTTTTTCGAGACAGGGTTTCTCTGTGGCTTTGGAGGCTGTCCTGGAACTTACTCTGTAGACCAGGCTGGCCTTGAACTCACAGAGATCCGACTACCTCTACCTCTCGAGTGCTGGGATTAAAGGCATGCACCACCACTGCCCAGCTCAGTGAGGATACTTATGGGGGCAATTTTACCTGATTTGGCTAGAAGCTGTGAAGCAGACTGTGAGCTCTGGAAGCAGAGGCGGGAGGCTATGGTATTTAAGGCTATCCCTGGCTGCACACTGAGTCTTGAGACAAGCCTGGGATACATAAGACTCCCTTTCCAATTGCTAAAAAAAAATGTCTGCAAAGGGAAAAACAAAGCAAAACACCTTTTAACCACTTAAACCAGATTTCCAATATTCAAATCCTAGGTCAGGGTTAGGTCTAGACTTTCCTCAGTGCTCCAAGGTTTTATGATCAGCCTGTAGCACTTCCTAGGGCTGCACCGTGGCTCCTCGTATGAGTGAGAGCATAGCTGTCCCTCAAAGGGAAGGAGAGCTTATTCTGAAGCCAAATTGAGTGACCATAGCCCCAAAACATGAATTTAGGTCACCCCCAAATACTGTATTCTGACCTGGCAATAGTGTAGCAAAGGTTTCCTAATAATACAATAAAATAAATTATAAATGGAGGTAGTTTAATTTTTTATCTAAAATTAAGCTGATCAGATGGTGCACACCTTTGATCCCAGCATGGGGGAGGGGGGGAGCAGAGGCAGGCAAATCTCTGTAAGTTCAAGGCTAGCCTGGTCTACATAGTGAGTTTCAGCACAGCCAGGGCTACACAGAGAGTCCCTGTCTCAAAACATACTCCCCAGCAAAAAGATGAAAAATATTTAAAGTATTTACTTATTGCATGTATGAGTGTGTGTGTGTGTGTGTGTACGTGTACGTGCATGTGGGAGTCAGAGGACTTGTGGGAGTGTGGTGGCAACTGTCTTTACCCTCACTAAGCCATCTGCCAGCTCAGCTCAAAATAATCTGGCTGGAAACCTTAACATTCCAATTCTTCAGTGGCGCGGAATCTTATACGTTGCTTTGTACTGGTGCGGTGGGGCTGTGTGAGTTTTTGTTGTTTTTCTTCTGGGAACTCGGCACAGGGGACTCCCTGTTTACACTTGTCCCTCCACCCCAGCCTGGTAGCCTCCCCAGGCCCCAGTTATGTTTTCTTCCAGGCCCACTTCGCGATCTCCAAGTCTAGTAGGCAGCTCCCAGGCAGCTTCTTTGCATCCCCGAGGAGGTGGGGCTCAGACCTGGTTCTCCCCAGCAGCCCGCAGGGCAGGGGTCAATGCTCTGGGTGTGGTCATCACTCATTCTTTTTTCTGGCTATCAAAGGTGCAGATAATTAATAAGAAGCTGGATCTTAGCAACGTCCAGTCCAAGTGTGGCTCAAAGGACAATATCAAACACGTCCCGGGCGGCGGCAGTGTGAGTACTGTGTCACACTCTCCATGCAGTGTGCTGCAGCCTTCGCTGTGAGGAGTGTCATGAGTGTGTACTTGTGGGACATTGCAGAGAATAAATCACCGCAGGCTCAGGGCCTCCTGTATCCCCACACTTATGTTTGCTGTCCCCAGACCCCCTCCCCATGTTCAATGAGGGTCCAGCAGAAAAAGCACAGCAATTGGCTCCCACCGACCCCTCCCTGAGAAACTGGGTCCCTATAGCACCGTGCCCATGCTCCTAGAAGCCCCACAGCCTATTAGAAATGGGGCTGAAGGCCGGGCGTTGGTGGAGCACGCCTTTAATCCCAGCACTCGGGAGGCAGAGGCAGGCGGATCTCTGTGAGTTCGAGACCAGCCTGGTCTACAGAGTGAGTTCCAGGACAGCCTCCAAAGCCACAGAGAAACCCTGTCTCGAAAAACCAAAAAAAAAAAAAAGAAAAAGAAAAAGAAATGGGGCTGAAGACTGTGGCACCCACGACCAGACTTGTCACCTCTTCCCTCATCTCTGGGACAGGTTCTGCTGTGGATGGATGGTCCATATGATCTGACAGAGGACACTAAGGACTTCTTTGTCCCATGTCAAGGGCAGAGAGGGTCATAGCCATCCTGGTCACTGTCTTCGAGAGAGGAAGCGATTCGATTCCTATGCCTCAGTTAAAGTTTAAAACCAGCTCCACCCCCCCCTCTAATACAGGGACTCTTGTTGCAAAGAGCCTAACAGAGAGGTCAAGGGTGGTAGCTATTGCCTGTGTTCAGTTTGCCAGAGAAAGAAAGGCTGCTTAGGGTTTTAAGTTTGTCCTCCTCTAAACACCACCCATCTTATCCCCAGTGAGTGTGGGGGAGGTTTTCAGGCTCCCTTGATGGGCTTAGGACTCAGTTGTCCTCCAGGCTGACCTGTGCCCACAGGGCAGGATACACAAACTGGCCTCGGGGTTTCTCCCCTCCAGCTCCCTCATCCCTAGCTCCGAGTCAGTCCCAGGAGGGCCCAGGGTCTCTGAGAGAGAGTTTCTGCTGGCTCGGTCTTGTGACTGCTGGGACACTGGAATGGGCTCTTTCCAGAAAGTGCTTTGGCCCACAGGGTTTATTCTTGCAATGTACTTCTGCCTCCTGCCCTGGCACCTGCCCTGCCTTCTGACTCTTGGACCCATGGCCCCAGAGCAGCAAGTGCTGGCCCTGTGGCCACTGCTTCTCACGCTTACTCACAGTGTCTGCCGTCTCCTCTGTCCTCCACTCCCTGCCGCTCCTGCCACCCCTCATACTTGTTTCTGTTGTTGGGTTTGTTTTGTTTTGTTTTTTTTTTGCGTCAGAAGGAGAGGTGTAGCTGTTGGCTGCACTGTAGTTGCTGCCCAGTCTGATGCCCTCCCCGTGTACACTCAATAAACTATCCTACAAAGAGATGGGTGTGGGAAAGAAGAGATGGTCACTAACGACTCCCATAGCTGTCCTTGTTCCTGAGTCCTTTAATGTCGACGTCCCCGCCCAGGCCTGCTGTGGCTGGGTAGGAAAGGCAGGGGCATCCAGCTTGGTTAGGGTTTGGTTTGCTGCTGGGGCTGAAGGCTCTGGCCCCAGTGCACAACAGAGGGCGGATGCTTCTGCAGGGCAAGTTTGGTCACATGCTGACTGCCTGATGATGCTCCAGTGCCCAGGGTGTCAGGGAACTTTCTAATGTGTGTCAGCCTGGGAAGTAGCCTAATGACCTTATGTAGAGTCACACGATAGCCTGGGCTGACCAACAGCGTTGTCCCTGGCCTGTGGCCACTGTTGACTACAGGATGAACCTGTAGAGAAAGCTCTCTCCAGGGTGGGGGCTCTGGGATTTTGGGTTGCAGGATCCCTGGTCTAGGCTGCATATCTGGCTTGCTGCTGGCTCTCTCTAAGGTAGAGGTTGCAGGCTGCTGCTCCATCTGCACCTCGTGGCTGGGCCTCGTCCTCCCCTCCACACCCCGTACATTCCTTTCTCCTCTGGCCACTCCAGGTTCCATCATCTCTTACCCCTGCCACACCCTGGTAACGACCCTCAGGTGACTCTACCTGGGCTAGAGGGAAGAAAGGGAGGCTCTGGTTCCTGCAGCATTCCTGCCCCTTCTTGGAGGTCTCTGGCTCCCATGTACCCTGGTTCTGTTTGCAGAAAGTCCTTGGGACCATCTGCTCTTCACCCACCTCCGCAGGGGCAGGATGACACCCTGGCACTGACATGTAAGGCCACAGCCCTCCTTTTCCATCAGGTCCATTAGCAAAAAAAGAAACACACACACACACACACACACTCCACAACACAACACCATCAGCACAGCTATCTATGAAAATGAGAGGGATTTGTCCACTTAGACCTATGTAAAACGCCCACCTTGCTTTACTGACTCTCACACATGAGCTCACCCCTCTCCCAGGACAGAAGATGACACTCCCCTTCACTGGAATGACCCCACTCCAGTGGTCTATATAGGAGACCCATGGGATTTGGAACCAGTTCTGAGAGACTGGATAGCCTTCTCTTCAGGGTGTCTACTCAGGAAGCAACTGCCATTCCCCAGAGCAGGCATTGTTGCTGGGCCACATGGAGGACACCTGGGCAGCAGGCCTCCCTGTGTGTCTCTGCTCACTCACGCTTGCTGAGACACTAAACCTGTGGTTTCCGCTGTGTGCCTGCCCTCCTTGTTGGTGTCGCTTTGCTTTTTCATTAGAGGATGAAATACATGTACAGGAGACTGTGTGCCCAGACACCATGTGACTCTCACCCTGAGACATAGCGCTGACCTGGGTCCTGTTTGCCAAATGGTGGTCCAGGACCGAGTGAGGGAGCTCCCTGGATGAAACACACCCGTCCTTGTCGCCTCTTCTCAGTCCTTTCCAAGGAGATCATCTGGAGGCTGCATAGGCCAGCCGCTCTTCCTCCGCTGTGATGGCTCTTTCCTCAGAGAAAGGATTTATGTTATATACTTAAATATCTTCTAAATAGAGGTCGTGGTCACACACAAGGACCAGGCACCCTGCTTTTCCATGAGAGTCTCTTGGGTTTCTGGGATTGAAGATGTTCAGGTCCCATAGTTACTTTGTAAGGACCCAGCTTCCCCGGGGGACAGGAATTGGCTGGATTTGGGGAGCATATTTTCCTCCCTAACTGGGATGTATTCAGTAGTTAATGGGAGCCACTGACAAGTGGTCCTTTGGGTTTTGCATTGTGTTACACCCCTAGTAACATAACCCCCTTCATTCTCTGTCTTGTCCCCCCCTTTCCTACTTGCAGGTGCAAATAGTCTACAAGCCAGTGGACCTGAGCAAGGTGACCTCCAAGTGTGGCTCATTAGGCAACATCCATCACAAACCAGGTAGCCCTTGAGGGAGGCAGGCTTTGGGACAGGAAGGTGCTGGCTAGTCTGGCAGGTGCTTCCTGGAATAGGCCACCCTGAGCCGTGAGCATTAGATGTGAAGGTGCTGTGTGGCCTGGGAGGTGGGACTGTCCCTGCTGGCTCCTGAGCAGGGCTTTTTCAGCCTAGACAAGGAGTGGAGAAAAAGGGGGAGCTGGTCCCAGATTCTATCTTGTGGCTCTCCAGAAAAGTCTGTAAAAGAGGAGCAGCCATGGGACTGAGTGGGCCCCCAAAGGCCATCTCTGCGGGTGTCTCAGCCTTGTCCCGGCCAGCATGCACTTCATCAGCAGCTATAACTAAGACCTCTCTGGGCTGTGGTCCTACCCTCACGGGGACTGTGTTTAAACAGAGCAGTACAGGTCACCTCCCCGCCTGCCACACCCTGGTGTGGTGACCCAAGTCACAGAGGAAGAGGGGTTAGGGTCTCTCCTCATTGTGCATTTGACATGCAGTTGGATTCCTAGGTCTTGAGGGGTTTGTGGCTTACAGGATGTTCATATGAAAATCACCACTGGAAGGCATCCAGTTTCGAGTTCAGTATGCCTTCTCCTGGCCAAGCTTCCCGTACCTTTGAACCATTTCAGGAGGAAGATTTTGCAGAGTAAATACCCAATGTATATCTGGATTAGAGATGGGGCAGGTGATTTGGAAGCTTTACAAGGGCTCCCTTGTGCCCAGGCCTCCTTCTAGATAAAGTAGAGCCCTGGCAACTCCAAGAGGGTGGGCTGCTGTTGTGATCACTGGCCCGCCTCTGTTGGCGTCGGAATGGGCACATTAGCGAATGCTCCTCTCCAGAGTGGTGATACGTGACCTCATTTTTATCATGCCTCCAGCAGCCCCGGGCACTTTGCTCTGCAGGCTGTGACCTCGTTTAATATATGCTAAGTCCCCCAGACCACAGAAGATGACAAGAGGCTCTTGTGTGGGTTGTGTGACAGGAGGTGGCCAGGTGGAGGTAAAATCTGAGAAGCTGGACTTCAAGGACAGAGTCCAATCGAAGATTGGCTCCTTGGATAATATCACCCACGTCCCTGGAGGAGGGAATAAGAAGGTAAAGAGGGACAAATCGGGGGGCCACATGGGGATGTGGGGGTTAATGGAGTGGACAAGGCTGGGCTACCTAGAGACAGATCCTCCCCCTCAGTGTACCAAGGACAAGGCATGGGACCAAAGGCAGATCTTTTCCACTAATTACGGGAAAGCTAGCACAAAACAGTGATGCTGCCTGAGGCTGAGGATCAGCTGGTAGAGAGCTTGCCCAGCATGCCCAGAGCCCGGGGTTCCATCCCCAGCACTGCATAGCCTGGGCATAAACTGTAATCCCAGGTGGAGGCAGGAGGGTCAGGAGTTCAAGATCACCCTCGGCTACGTGCTAGGTTTCAGGCCAGCCTGTGCTACATGAGATTCTCGCCAAATAGACAGACAAAGCCAGTGGTTCTGAAGAGAAGTGTCCACACTGGGGTTGCTGGGCCTTGAATTCCCAGCTGTGTCTGGTCTCCAGGCTGAGGAGAGTATGCGTAGGGTATGGGAACACAAAGGAGTGTGTGCTCTGAGCAAGCTCCTCTTGCACCCAACACAGGGTGACTGTAGGGCCGCCCTGGTTTCTCCTCCAGCATAAACAACCTCCACATTTGCCTGGCCCCATATTGTGGAGGCAGCCTCCTCTGCAGGGTCCTCCCAGCAAATGCCTGAACAGAGGGAACGTCCTGGAGTCAGACCCAGCCTAGCAAGAAAAAGGGTACTTACCCGAGGTGGCCCAACTGTCTTTTTGCTTGGTCATGTTGGATGACCCCTGGGAGTCCCCTGCCCGGCAAGTCCCCACAGCGCCCTGCTTTCTTCTGCAGCTGTGTGTCTCTGCATCTGCTGCTTATGTAAAGCCCCTGGTATTACTATGAAGCACCTGGCCAGGCGTTGGTGGCGCACGCCTTTAGTTCCAGCATTCGGGAGGCAGAGGCAGGCAGATCTCTGTGAGTTCGAGGCCAGCCTGGTCTACAGAGAGAGTTCCCGGACAACAACCTCCAAAACAATACAGAGAAACCCTGTCTCGAAACCCCCCCCAAAAAAAAAACAACAACAAAAAACTATGAAGCACCTGTTGGACTGCTGAAGTGCCCAATACACAGCTGCCACACAGCACTCAATTTAAATGCAAAGCCTCATCATTGCTCCCATATGGGACCTCTTGGCCCCAGAGTGCCGTAGGAAGCCACAGGCCTGGCTTCACCTCAGTCTGAGTCATTACAGCAGACCTGAGGCTGGAGATTCCCTGGGTAAGGGAAGTTCTCCACCAGCCTGGGAACCTCTATGCCCTGGAGGAAACTGGGCAGGTGGGACTTCCTTGGAGGCCTGATTCAGGCCTGTTTCTCCTGCAGAGAAACACCTGCCCCTGACAGTGGGGTGAGATCCAAACAAAAGAAGGCCCCTGTGTCCTGGGACTGGAGAACTGGAAACAGGTGGAGGTTATCCCGAGCTACCCAGAACTAGTGCCAGCCTGGGCTACACATGAGACCAGAAGCAGCTGGGCATAGTGGTGCACGCCTTTAATCCAAGCATTTGCCCAGCAATTGGGAGGCAGAGGCAGATGGATCTCTGTGAGTTTGAGGGCATCCTGGTCTACAGAGCGAGTTCCAGGACAGGTGTGACTATTAGAGCAACCCTACCATGCACACAGGTTTATAATCAAAGCTTCTCTCAAGTACAGTAGTATAGAAGATCCCTCCTTACCAAAAAGAACAGCATATGCATGTAGCCTAAATGAAAGCCTGATTTTCCTCTAGTCACCATTCAAGCTCCCAGCAAGGGTCTCTGGCCTCAGAAGGTGTATGGAAATACTGTATGAGTGTCGCATACATATGTGCACACATGGCTCAAAGCCTGGGACCCAGAACAAGGTTAAGGCATTTTGTGTCCACCCCGTATATGTAGAGACTGTTACACGTGCCTTGGACTGCTTTTTGCTTCCCTTTGGCCAACACACATTGTGTGTCTGCACCCCCCACCATGTGTATGTGTTACATGTACATGCATATGCAGATGCGCACACCTCTGTACATACATGCAGAAGCCAGAGCAGATCGTCAGGGTGTCTTCCTCTATCACTGTCCACCTTACTGCCTTGAGACAGGCTCTCTCACTGAAGGGGAAGCTTGCTGTTTTTGCTAAGCTGGCTATGAGTGAGCTCCTGGGATGTACCTGTTTTCATGCCCAAATGCTGAGGTTACAGGTTACAGGCATGCGCAGACATGCTCTGCTGCTTTTACTTACTTGGGTGCCGAGGATTTGACCTCAGCCCTTTGTGTTTGCACAGAAAGCATTCCTACCCACCAAGCCATTTCCTCCCTAGGCCTGTGATATGGCTTCTTAAGAAGGGCTTCTTGGATCACGACATGTAGCACATATGCTAATGGGTGCCACCTGGAAATGCCGTAATAGCCTGTGACAAAGGATGTGTGTAGTGCTGGCTGCTGGTATCAGTGATTCTATAGCCAGCCCTTTTCTCTTTGGTGGCTTCTCCTTCAATGCTTTTAGCAGCAAGTTGGCAATAATCTAGGAAAACAGAGTCCAGAGCAAGGGTTGTGAAGCCTCAGTACAGCATGTTTTCAGCATGCGTAAAGCTATAGGCTCCATCCCAGAGCAAATAAACACATAAACAGTCATTACATTTTTAGGATGCAGGGTCTGGAGAGATAGCTCAGAGGTTGAGAGCACTGGCTGCTCTTCCAGAGGACCTGAGTTCAATTCCCAGCAACCACACCGTGGCTCACGACCATCTGCGATGAGATCTGGTGCCCTCTTGTGGTGTGAAGAGGTACATTTTTAGGATACACGTGTAAAACGATGTGTGCAAGGTCACTGAAGGTTATTCGTACTCGGCATCGTCTGTAGTTGCGGAGAAATGGAACTGCCCCCACTTCCATCAGCAGGGAGGAGACAGATTTTGGCACAGATGCTGTAATGGTATAGAATAAATAGCCACTAGCACGAGAAAGTTCCCTGTGGAATAAAAAAGTATTAAGCCTGTAATCCCAGAAATTGAGAGACAGAGGGACTCATAAGGACAGCTAATTCCCCGCCAGCCTTACAAAACAAACCACACCAGTGAGATTGCTCAGTGGGTGAAGGTGCTTGTGGTCAAGCCTGGTGCCCTGAGTTTGTTTCCCAGGACCTAGATGTTAGAAGGAGAGGACTAACTCTCACAAGTTGTCCTCTGATCTCCCCCAAATACGCTGGAGCTCACACACACACACACACACACACACACACACACACACACACACACACACACACAGAGCCAGGTGTGATGGCACACGCTTTTAATCCCATCACTCAGGAGGCATAGGCAGGCAGGTCTCTGTGATTTCCAAGCCAAACTGGTCTACATAGTTAATTACAAGCAGGCCAGAGCTACATATTGGTATCCTGTCTCAAAGTAAATAGATAGATGAATTGATAAAAACTAAGCAAGCAAGAATGAAGCAAGTATTAAATATAAAAAGCAAAGTGCAAAGCCCTCCCATATGAGTTAAATACACATATGTTTACTTACACATGCATGTATGCTTCTATATGTGTGGGATATTTAAAGGGCATAGAAGCTATGGTCACTGTCATTGGGCAGGCAGGTGAGGGATGGACCGTGCACAATAATTGCTAGTTGGAAACAATAAAAGTAAGTAAGGTGGTGGCTCCGGGGGATGCAGGTTAATTAGTAGAGTGCTTGCGGGTCTCACCCCTACCGTTACCTAAACTAGCTGTGGTGGCATATACCTGTGATTCCAGCACTGGGGCAAGGCAGGAAGATCCAAAGTCCAAGGTCTTCCTCAGCTGAATAGAGAATTCAAGTCCAGCCTGTGCTACTTGAGAGAGCCTGTTTCAAGAATAATGAATAGCCAGGTGCGGTGGTGAATGCCTTATAGCCCTCGGGAGGCAGAGGCAGACAGAACTCTGAGTCCTAGGCCAGCACTGGTCTACAGAGCAGTTCCAGGACAGCCAGGGCTACACAGAGAAACCCTGTATCAAAATAAAATAAATGCAATTAATTAATTAAAAGAGCGGTTTCCTCCCACCATAGCCTCTGGTGTGTAGACAGCCGGGGCTCGTCTGTTTCTCCAGTGTTGTTGTTCATCTCACCCTAACTTCCTACAGATTGAAACCCACAAGCTGACCTTCCGAGAGAATGCCAAAGCCAAGACAGACCATGGAGCAGAAATTGTGTACAAGTCACCTGTGGTGTCTGGGGACACATCTCCACGTCACCTCAGCAACGTGTCCTCCACGGGCAGCATCGACATGGTGGACTCACCACAGCTCGCCACGCTCGCCGATGAAGTGTCTGCTTCTTTGGCCAAGCAGGGTTTGTGATCAGGCCCCTGGGGTGGTCAATAATCGTGGAGAGAAGAGAGAGTGAGAGTGTGGGAAAAAAAAAGAATGATCTGGCCCCTCGCCCTCTGCCCTCCCCGCTGCTCCTCACAGACCGGCTGACCGGCTTGTCACCTAACCTGCTTTTGTGCCTCGGCTTCGGCTCGGGACTTCAAAACCAGCGATGGGAATAAGTAAATTTCATCCTTCCAAATTGATTTGTGTGGGCTAGTAATAAAATATTTTTTAAGAAAAACATGTAAAAACATGGCCAAACCCAACATTTCCTTGGGCGATTGCTATTGATTTTCCCTCCCCACCCCACCCCCTTTTTGAGTATTAGAGGGTGAAGGAGGCTCTGGAGGCTACTTCTGGGGAGTTTTGAGGGACTAGGGCAACAGATTGCCCGCAGCCTCATCCTAGGGGCATCAGTGACAGAGACAGCAACAAAAGATTTGAAACTTGGTGTGTTCGTGGAGCCGTGGGCAGGTGACCCTAATGTGCGTGGATGTGAAGATTTGAAACTTGGTGTGTCCATGGAGCTGTGGGCGGTGACCCTAACGTGTGTGGATGTGAAGGGCTGAGGCGGCGAAGGCTGAGGGATGGTTGGGTTGGGAGGAGAGAGGTGAGGAAGACAGGCTAGGAGAGGGGACACTGGGCTCCTGCCAGGTAGCTTGGGAAGGACAGGCAGCCCCAGCTGCCAGCAGCAGGCCCAGATGGCATAGCTGCCTGTGTGGTTAGGCCCTGGGGAGTGCTTGGGTCTTTGTGGTCCTGTAGGACAGCCCGGGGAGAGACGGGACAGTGGGCAGAAGGAAGGCAGGCTGGAAGGTGGCACCTTGTCCATTGGTTCTCTGAAGGCTAACTTTTGACATCACAGGGCACTGGCTTCTTCCTCCCTCTCTGCAGGGAGGGAGTCCTGAGCTGAGGGCTCCACTCTCCTCACAGAAAACCCTGCTTTACTGAGTTCTAAACTGCAGCCATGATTTTGGCCACTTCATAGACTTGGGACTTTAGGGCTAACCGGTTCTTTGTAAGGACTTGTGCCTCTTACGGGACATCTGCCTGTTCTCAAGCCTGGTCCTCAGGCACTTCTGCAGTGGGAGGGATGGGCGTGGGGCAGTATTCTGGGATGAGGGTCCCAGGCCTCCCATCCCTCCTGTGATCGCTGCAGCCCCTCTACTTGTTCTATCACGCCCACACATCTGCCACGAGAGCCGGTCACTGCCGTTCTCACATCATGTCTCTCTGTCCTGAGTGCCCGGCCTCCCCCAGCCTCCACCCTGGCCCCTGGGCAGATGTGGGTAACACCTGCTCTACACCAAGAGGTGGAGTCCTAGGAAGGCAAAGATTTGGGACTCGGTCTCTAGTCCTACGTTCCACAAATCCAACCAGTGTGCCTGGAGATGACCCCGGACACACTTCTGTCTGCTTTTTTTTTTTTTTAACTTTAAATAGTGGCTGCCTCCTAGGCCTGTTGAGCAGGAGGCAGCAAGCCGGGGCCCTGTGCGAGTCAGTGGCTGTGCACTGGCGTTGGTGTGAGCAGGCAGGAACCCAGGGCAGGGCCACACTCCTCCCATCTTTCGCTTCCACCCCAACTGTGATCGCTAGCCTCCCAGAGCCCAGCCACCATTAAGTCCCGTGCACGTAGTCAGCCCTCCATACCCCATTTTGGGGAACAAATCCCCTGGTAATGTTTTTCTTCCAGTTGCCACGGAAGCCGCGCTGCCTGCCCTGCTGGAGCAGCCAGACATCTCCATAGATACAGCCCTTTCCTCCCTGTCTGCACCCTGTTGCGTTGTAGTTGGATTTGTCTGTTTGTCTGGGTTCACCAGAGTGACTATGATAGTGAAAAGAAAAAAAGAAAAAAGAAAAAAAAAAAGGACGCATGTATCTTGAAATATTTGTCAAAAGGTTCTAGTTCGCCACCAGGGATGGAGGCCCCGGGTCGTCTTGTCTCCACTGGGACTCTATTCCAGGCCAGTGCAGTGTTCCCTGCCAGGACATGTTTTGAAGGGTTTCCTCTGCATCTGGGACCTCACAGACACTGGATTATGACATTGGAGGTCTCTTAGCTGTCAAGGCCTGAAGCACAGGGCCAGCTAGACTCTAGTGGCTAAGAAGGCGGCTCCACCTGTCAGGGAGAGCTTCCTGCTGGCCTGTTTTGCAGAGTGAAGATGGTTCTCTCTATTTACAGCCTCAAGTCCCACAGCAGCCCTGAAAGACTGTCTAATAACTACTGCATCACAAGAGAAAAGGGCATCAGTGTCAGTTGGGAGAGCTGTTGCCCTAGAAATCCCATGACTCTCCAGAAGACATCCCTGGGCCCTCTCCAAGCCTCGGCTGCCTCATCACAGGGGTTAGGATGGACTGCCCCACCGAGGAAGGGGACATCTTAGGAGACTCCCTTGGTTTCCAAGGTGTCTGCCCGCTGACCTCGAATCTCATACAGCTGCAGGAAAGAGGTCTAAGGAGAAGCTTAGGAACGTCAGGCCCAGTTCTGTCACTTTTGGCTTGGGAACAGATAAGGACAATGTGGAAGCAGCCAGCCTTTCCCATTAAAGAAATGTGCACCCAGACCTACCTATGTCAAGGTTCCCCACAGCTGATGGACTTCAACTATCCTTAAATAGAGGGTCTGATGCAGAAAAAGGAAGTGTGGTTTGAAGGTCTGTGGTTCCTTCATCATGGCTATCCTGGTTTTATATCTTACACCCATTTACCCAGCCTACAGTTCCTATCCTTGAATGGGGACACTGCCATTATCTCTTGTAGAGTGGTCAGTCCCAAAATATTGATCAGGTCAATGCCGATAAGCAGTTTACAAAGAGATTCTGGCTTGTGACTTCAGTGAGGACAATCCCCCAGAGGGTTAGCACCTGTCCTTTCTTTCCATGCCTCCCAACTCGAGAGCTAATATCTTTGGGTGGGCCAGATAGGGTGTACCATATGCCTGTTTCCCCCAAGCCCTGAATTCACGTTATCAATAGTTCTATTTAAAACGACTTCAATGGTAAGACTATCCTGTTTGAGATTGCTTGTGCTGGGGGGGGGGGAGGGAGAGGGGAAGAGGAACATGTTAAGATAGTTCACATGGGCAAAGGAAAGCCTCCGAGTGTAGCTGTCTGCAGCCTTGTTCATGACTTTGATCACTTGCTAGAGAGGAGAGGTGCCATTCAGCCTGGAGGCTTGGCTGTCCCACTGACAGGTTTTTCCAAGGCAGAGGCAGTCAGCTAGTTCCCTGCCTTCCCAGCCAGGGTTAGTTCCCAGGTTTGTGTAGGAATCTATGAACTACTCTTTCCTGCTGCCTTCTTGTGGCATCCAGAGCCTTCATTAAAACCCTGGCTTCCTTCCCTCTAAGCCATTGACACATCAGTATCATCTCTGGGCAGGCTTCAGATCCACAGCCTACACCACAAGACCTCTTCCTTGACTTTAGTGTGTTTTCCAGAAAAGTAAATGGGTACAAGGGCAGAGGTGGTGACCAACTCTAGGTCTGTGACTTTGAGCCTTCACACTTCTGGCTTCTGGAAGGGTTACTTTGGGCATCATCTCAGTCTCACCCTCCTGATGGACTGTCTGTCGCCTGTGCAGTTACTGTGCTGGGCATGATCTCCAGTGCTTCTAAGTCCCATGATTTCTTTGGTGATTTTGAGGGTGGGGGTGGGGGTACGACAACACATGGAATCATTTTAGCTTAGCTTCCTGTCTGTGAATGTCCATATAGTGTACTGTGTTTTAACAAACAATTTACACTGACTGTTGCTGTAAAAGTGAATTTGGAAATAAAGTTATTACTGATTAAACAAAATCTCTGTTCATGAGTTCCAAGTACAAGAAAACAAAGAGTTTGTAAGTTCTTTCTCATGCTTATTCAGAAAATTCAGAACAGGAAATGAAACTAAAAGCCAGACAGTGGAGTGAAGGGGTCCTAAACGCACAGAGTACAGACTTGCCTGGTTCATTTTCACACCCTAGTGTTGACAAACTACCCTCAGACAATCAGTACTCTCGGGCTGAACTCACAAGGCTACATTCCAGAATTCCCAAGATCTGTGCCAGTTCCCTTGAACCGAAGAAGTTTGGGATGAGGTGTATGAGACCCTTCATCCCCAGAACTTAAGTGGAGGGGCTTGGGGCTGAAGATCAAGCTGCAAACCCAGCATGCATACATGTGTGCTGCAGCCTTATACCTCACAACCTTACTACAGATGAAGTATTTCTGCTAGGAAGGAATAGGGCAGCTTCTTGTTGGTAGTATCTTGAAGGAAAACAAAAAGAAGCAACGTGGATTTTGTTTTTTTGAGACAACCTTTGAGCCTCCTGAGTACTGGGATTATAGGGGTAACACTATGCTGTTAATGCATGCTTAGGCAGTGTATCAACTAAGCAATATATCATACATCCTCAACCCCAGTTGTATTGAATGCTATAGCATGTGGCCAGAGGACTACCTTGGGTGTCTGTCCTTGAGACATTTGTTCTCCTGTGCATGTGCCATGTTACCTGACTTCCTCACTGCTGCTAGGGATTCTTGGGTACCAGTCTTTCATCTCACATAGAACACTGGGGTTGCAGGTGCCTGGCTTTATATTCGAACTCAGGATATCATACTGTGCATTTCATTCACTGAGTCATCTCCCTTATTCTGAGTTCTCTGATAATGTCAAGGTCATGATAATTCTTAGATTTTCAATCTTAAAATGTCTTCACAGTTCCCCATTAGAGAAATTTGAAATTCTATACCGCTTACCTCTTAAAGAACAATGACTAGAATCAGTTGCTTCACTCAAGAGCAGATGGTATTTCTTAACTTAGTGAAACACCCTTCAAAACACCCACACAGCAAGTCTCCTAACCCCAGAGAATGCTGGGGCTGCCACCTTTGCCAAACACACACAGTCCAGCATATCAAGAAAAGTATGACACATAACTTTCTGTATCTTTTTTTTATTATTTTTTTCATTTTTCCTTCCTTTTTTTTTAAAGCACTAGTCTGTGCTTTGCGAACAGAATCAAGACATTAACAAAGATCAGCTTCTCTGAAGAAAAGCATTTCTATAGAACAAAGACAGCTACATGTTTGCTGCCATTACACAGCTCAAAGCAGGAAAAGAAAATATTTACAAAATACAAGTTTTTTTAAAATTTTGTCTTTTTTGTTTTTTTTACAATGCTAAAAGGGTTATTCAGAATTTTCAACCTTATAAATAGAAGAAGCACTTTATGCATAGGGATATGGTGCATTATTGTTGTTTAAAGAAACAATGACAAACCTTTTAACTTGCAAACAGAAAAAAAATCACTAATGTTGAAAATTGTGAAAAAACCCCAACCATTAAGCAGTCTGCCTACTATTTTTGTACGATTATAAAATGGCAGAAAAAGAAAATTCCTTTCCCCCTCCCCTTTTTTGGTGATGTGATTATACATGAGACAGGCACAAGGCTAACAGGAGGTTGGTGGGGAACAATGGAAACCACAGCTAGGACCAGACAGTGTTCCACAGGCAAGGGGAGCGGAGAAGAGGGAGAGTCTAAGTGACTGTCTGACGGGGATATGAAAGAAACATGACGTGTGTGAACTACTCAGTGAAAACATGATACAGAAATGATGCTGTGTTCTCCACAGACTTCCTAGTTTGTAGGGGAGTGGGAATGGGTTAAGCAGTCCAAACCCTACCGTCATAGATGCTAGGAGTGGAAGGACTAACGTGTCTGTGTGCATGGATGGGAGAGGAAGATGGGGAAGGGTAGAATAGGGTGACCTGAGCAGCTGCAGCAGGGTACTGCATTCAAGGAGCCAAGATGGAGAACCAAATGCAGATGAAACTGAAAATAGGTCTTCAAGGTCCAGGTGACAAGAAGTTAGCTGTACTGCTGGCCCAGAGTTCAGTGAGAAGAACTGGCTGACAGAACAAAGAAGCTGGCTAGATGGTGTTCTAGCACATAAGACCAAGGAGGGGTGCCCAGGTAGGGCTAGCCACGCCTCAGATTGGTGGGAAGGTTAAGAGCCCAGACTGCTCTTGCTCTATCCCAACCTAACCTAAGGAGGCTGTGCTGACTTGGAGCTTTCCACCTGCTGCCATCTGACTGGTCCACCCTACCCCACAGGTGCAAGGGAAAGGGTGATCATCTAACAATGGGAAGTCCAGTGATCCAACAGTGCAGAGGATATGCAGGACCAGGCCAACAGGGTCTCTTCCTGAACTTGTCTGCCAACTGGAGGAAGTGCTCAGGTGTGACATGAAAACAAAACAAGAAAACAGAAACAACAAAACCAAACCAACCAAAGAAGGATCTAAATTCCTTAAATTCACTAAAAACTGTGAAAATTCCAGCATATGATGTTTGAATATCAAACGCAGAGATTTCTGAAGCTTTAATGCCAATAGTAGTGAGTCTGTATAGTCTCATTTCCCATTCATCTGTGAGTTGGGCGCTGAGCTGCAACTGTTGCTGCCAGATGCCTACTCTTGAGGGGGACAACAGGAGGTGAGGTGGGTGCCACCTCTGTCTCCCGGCCAGTCTTGCTGCCTGAGGTGCGGCGAGTGTAGCGGGCTGCTATGTCCTGTGCATCCAGCTGCTCCTCACATTCTGCCTGGGGACTGTAGGCCAGAGGGAAGGTCCGCCGCTCCCATGGTTGGACAGACTGTGGACAAACAAGATGATCAAATGATGAAGACCTAGTTTCAGCTCATTTCCTGCACCAAGGCCCTGCCCTCAAACTTAAGGCCCAGCATCAATAACCAGTCTGTCTACTATTATTGGGAGAATTTAAGAAGACCCCTCCCCAGGTGGGTACCCTTTGAACAATGACCAGCACACTTCCACTGCACTCCAACACAATGGAGAGGAAAGCTCTTTCTTCAGTACCTCCCACCCCCTCTCATACTCTCTTCTCATTTAAAGGGGACACCCCCTCACCTGTTCATCTAGCCCCAGCTCTGGTGTGGAGCAACGGGTGTCTTCATTGGCCAAGTGCCGCAAACTGTCCCGAGCCACGGGGGTGAGGGGGGCTGAGTGCAGTTCTGGGCTAATGGGACTCCTAGGAGATTGACCGTGGGAGAACTCTGACAGAGAGTGGCTACTACTGACGTCAGGAGAGGCAGGCTGTGGAGTGGAGGGGTTGGCACTGCCCAACTGTGGGGTGGTCCGGCCGTCTGATGACCTGTAAGACCTATGAACCAAGGAATACACAAATAAGTGAGAACCTGGTTTCATGGGCATTTTTTTCTGTTTCTTTCTAGGGGGTAGGAAGAGGAGGAGTTAGGAAAAAAGCATCTACACCAAAGCAGTCAATTCGAACTGACAGCAGTGATATTCTTCTAAGATCCATTAATTTCACTTGCTCCCACTTTTACCCATATAGGAAGGTATTAAACATGACAGCTAAGGGCTGTGAGTAGCTATGAGCCTAAGAGAAAAACAAGTCAAAGAAAAACAGGTGGTCTCCTGTCACTGGGGGTGGGAGGGGAGGGAGGGAGAGGGAGAGAGAGAGACAAGCACCATGGTGCAGTATAAGAAATGGAGGTAAAAGGACAACTTTTAGGTAATGGTCCTTTCCTTCTACTGTAGGTTTCAGTGATTGAACTTCGGTTCATCAGACTTGGAGGGCAAGCACTTTCAACCCACTGAGCCATCTAAAGTTAAAATTACAAAAGCAGTCCTCACCAAAACGAGGATCAACTGTGAGGACTTCTAAACTCCCCTGGCTAAATCATCACGACAACCAATACTGTAACCATACATTCCCTGGCTTACATTCCCATTGTCTCTCATGCCCCCCCCCCCCCAATTCTGGGAATCTGTGCCGTCCATTACCTGCTGCCACGACGCTGGGGTGGCACACTTGTGGTCCACAGCCATCTTGCCCTCTCCATCTCCTCACATTTGGCATGCAGGGCGGCAAAGGCTGCATCAGATAGGTCCTCGATCTGCAACAGAGCAGTTTCATTGATATCTCTGCCCACCCCCCCATAGAAGCTAAGGTTATGAAGTGGCAGAGAAATTCTAGAACCCGTCTCACCCTGTTGCAGAGACTTCTAGTTAAGAGACAGAATACAATGAGCTCAAATTCAACACCCCATGTCTTACGTGTTTGTACCCATGATCGGTGTACCCATGACTGGTGTGTGTGTATTCCTCTAAGACAGTATAACTATGGTATTACCTCCTCATTCTCTTCATCAGGACTCCCCTTCAGAGACTGAAGATCAACCTCTCGCCAGCTGTAAAACCCAGGAAGAATTATAAAAAAAGAAAGAAAATCATGAGATTGTAGGCAGGCTATGAATCTCCTGCTTCTAAATGAAGCCCTACATATAAATACACACAAAGGCCAGAAACAGAAGCAGAAAACTGAGCTTGGAATTGGGGCTGGTAAGACTGTCAAACTAAAATAAAAATTTAACTGTTTAATTTAGTCTGTGGATTGGTACCATAGATGACACCGTATGACATATGTTCTAGCTAGCCTCTAGAGGCTGGAAATAAAGATTTATAAGAGCCGGGTCACGCCTTTAATCCCAGCACTTGGGAGGCAGAAACAGGTAGATCTCTCTGAGTTTGAGGCCAGTCTGGTCTACAAAAGTGAGTTCTAGGACACCCGGGACTATTACACAGAGAAACCCGGCCTCAAAAAAAAAAAGAAAGAAATCTAGTTTGATATTGAGATAACACACTCAGTATTTTAAAAACACACAGTCTGGGTAGCCTGCCAGGTTGTGACCTTGAGTTGGCAGACTCCTGCACTGCTCCACTAACTCCCCCAACACTCTTATTTGCTCTTGCATTTTTGAACAGCAGTTTCACTATGTAGTCCAAGCTAGTCACAGCCCCATGTCAATCCACCAGCTTCAGTTAGTCACCCAATTGCTAAGACTGTAGATATGAACCATCCATGCCTGATAAGAAGCGACCCCCAATATAGGGCTTTGAACCTGGCAATGACTGTCTAGCTTCAGCCTCCCAAAGTATGGTATTATAGGCATGAGCTACCATGTCTGTTGACCCTTTTTAATTGTTGTTTTTGAAGACCTATATAGCCCACTGTTCATTCTGGGGAGCTGGGAATACAAGTGTGGATTCATGCCTGGCTCCAGACTCTTCTTTGAAAAAGAAAACATCTTGGATAGGAACTGCTTGGTTAGAAGAGAAAAAGGATATAGGATAATAGGAAGAGAGGGAAAGGAGATGATTAAGTAGGGCGTCTACCTGGGAGTAAGGATTTCTTTGTATTGTAGTTTCTCCACACGAGTTGTTGCAGCAACAGACATTGGGATGACAATGTTATTAATATCAAATGAGCTCTCTCCCCTTCTCCTCCTCACTGGCTGCTGTAAGACAAAAATTTAAGTTTCAAGGGAGGTACAATGCTACAAACTTAAAATCAGTCATAGGGCAGGATGAACATGCACACAGGTCCTGGGGTAGCAGTAGCCACCACAGCATCAATGTGTATCTAAAACCAATTGTCTCTGGCAGCAGAGTTTTTAGGGGGATGGGGAATACCAGGTGCTGGCCCCAGGAGTAAATCCCATTTCACAAGACTCCCTCTAGAATTCCTAGATTTTATAGATGGGCATCCTAGATCTACAGCCAAAGTGGGAGTTCCTATTCCTTCATTCTAGCACTCCTCTTTAAAATCCTAAAATCCCTGTTTCAGAGCTGGAGAACTTGCTCTATGGTTAAGAGCACTGGTTGCTCTTGGAGAAGACCAGGGTTTAGTTTCTAGCACCAACATAGTGGCTCACTACTGTCTGTAACCCAGTTTAGGGAGATCACATCCTTTACTGACCTCTGCAGCCATAAGGTATATATATACACGCGGTGCACATATATACACGCAGGCAAAACACACACACAAAATCTGTTTTACCCCCTTTCCTTTGTCAACAACTCTGGCTCTTAAATACAATGTTTAGACTGTTTAGACTTAGTGGTGACTAGTTAAAAGCATTGATTTCTCTCACCAGAAAAGAGGCTCAAAGGGCAGGTTCACCTTAACAAACCATCTTACCTTAGGTGCCATGAAAATACCTTCCTCTTGAGGATCTCAACTCTTCAGCTAAGTCTGTACCAACCACTTTCTCAGCCCTCACATAACTCTCATCTTTCTATTATTTTGGGGGAAACAGAAGAGTGGAAGGAAACAGAAAAGGACTTGTCTATAGCTTCCGTACCCCCCACAAAAGGAAATGTGCTCCACAGTAAGTGGGAAACCTTAAACCTTTGGGGAAATAGCTTTCAAGGGTCCAATAACAAAAGCAGAGTTGGATATCCATGGTAGATAGAAAACTAATAATGAATAAAACCAGGTGTGGTGCTGTAGATCTTTAATCCCAGCACTTGGGAAACAGATGTGGGCAGATCTCTGTGAGTTTAAGTGTAGCCTGGTCTACACAGCAAGTTCTAGAACAGCCAGAGCTACATAGAGAAACCCTGTCTCAAAAAGTCAGACAGAATGAATAAAAAGCAAAGATGCAAATGACCAAGTCTACTAGACAGAAGAAAAACTCTTAGCTGCTTCTTCCCAGAGAGCAAATACCTTCTCCTGAAACAGCCTGTGAGGGGCTGAGCTGTGAGGGGCCATAAGGAAACAGTGGGATGACAAACATGTTGTCATGGCAACAATACAGCTGGAAACACTCAAGAGCTACATTCATACCTAAACCAAGTGTGGTCAGCCCACAAGGGAGGGGTAAGGAAGATGAATTACAACCTCTCACCAACTACTATATATCCTTGGAAGGTAAGATAATTTATTCATTCCATCATCTTAAGACACTGTAATAATATTTTTAAAAACCCAAACAAACAAACAAACAAACACAAAACACAACAGGATTTCAAATGGCACCATGAATGATTTCAGGTCATCATAATTTTCAATTTCCTTCTTTATCAGTAATACTAGACTCACTAACTCACAAATTTTGGGTCATAGCTTAACTAAAATGGTTGAGATTTTTGAAACTCTTGTCTGGCTGAGTTCTGCAAGTAAACATTAGTGACCAAAGGCTTCTGGCACTATCATATCTTGCCTGAAGTTCCATGGCCCACACAAGAAAGAGTCTTGAAGGAGCCTTGGGAGAGACAGCTTTCTATTTTGGTCAAGACTGAAACCCCTGCTAGACGCAGCTATGTATTTCTCAAAGACATTTCAGGCCTCTGGCCTGTACTCCCCACGTGGACACCCTATTCTGCTAGCACTCATTCAATCCACTTTAACTACTGGTTCCTATTTAGAGCCAGAAAGGTGGGGAGGGTGGCAGCATTTAGAACAGCCAGCCATTTCTAAATCTGGTTTCACAATAGAAACAGGAAGACTCTGCCTAACTTGCCCTAAGTGCCACCATATCTAGTTTATATATTGTTCTAAGGATTTTTTTTAAAGCTACTGAATTTCAAGACAGACAAAACAAACACAATTTGTTTAAAGACCTCTAAGATGATTTTAATACAATGATCATTGTGAAGCACAGCTACAAGTACCCTAAAAGCCCCAGTCCTGCCCATTATGTACAGTTACCAACTTGCTTCTCAACCTAAATTTGGCATATCACTCTGTTTATTATTTATATCCTGATTCCCTGAATAAATGAGACAATAAAAATTCCAAGAAGCTGGGTGTGGTGGCTCACACCTTTAACCTAAGCGTTTGGAAGGCAGAGGCAGGAGGATTTCAGTGAGTTTGATGCTAGTGAGCTACAGGACAGCCAGGACTACATACAGAAACTTTGTCTCAAAGAGCCAAGGATTAGCACAGCGCTGTGCATAAAGTCTGTATTTAGTAAGGCTAAATTCCAAATGATCTAGTTCTAAGTCAACACTCTCTAGACTTACCAGTGCTGACAGTTGGGGGGGGGGGGGGGAGCTGATTTACCAAGTCCTAAACCTTAGAGTTCAAATTTTATGAGAATTATTCTCTTCTCTATCATCTGATTATGTGAAACCCTTTGCTACTGTTTGGTCTGAGTGTGGGAGGAATACCATACACTTACTCAGACAAAATCTGTGAGTAAAGAAGTGAAGGAAGAAGACTACCTGGAAAGGGCAGGCTGATTTCTAAGAGAAAAGAACAATGTTACCTGATTCCAGGAGCAGAGTGAGCACATTGAGAGCTTAGAGCTTCTACAACACCCCTTTTCTCAGGCCAAGGCTGTGGTGTACTGTAAGAGCTAACTCTGTAGTTCAGACTACAAGCGTTTGAATCACAATCCTCACAAGCTACCTCACTTTATTAAATACACTCAACCCCATGAAGCCTTAGGTTTTGTGTCCACAAAATCAGGACTCATTAATACTTTGTATTTATCAAAGGACCGTATTAAATGGGATGGCATGTATGTGTACTGATCCATTTGCCTCAGCCTCTTAAGTGCTAAAATTACAGACCCGTGGACATCAAGTCCAGTAGTAGAAGTGTTTAGTAAACATCACGGCACCAGAATTTAATATTACTAATTTGGATGGTTACACTTGTTACTGTGATTACGATAAAAGAGTTGCTTGGCTAACTATATTCAGCTGCTATAGGTATGTGTTTAATTAGACTATGTAAATAGATTCCTAAACGGGGTCTGGTGGTGTATAATGTAGTTGAGTATGCCTTAAATGGACTTCCCCTATGCATGTACTAAATGTTAAGTACTGCCACAGTAACCTGCTGAATCATACATCTGCTCTGTATACCTGGAAAAGCATGCATTCTGCTTTTTCCTTTCACCACTACTGTTCAGTCTTAGCATCCCACTGCCATTCACCAATAGTAGAAACAAGCAAACTGACTGTTGTCTTGAATGCCTAAAAAGATTAGGGTCATGATATTCAAGTTCTGGGTGGAAAGATCCTGAACAGTAACAAACACCTTCAGAGAACCTGCCTCTAGATCAAGGGTCTAGACCTTCTAGTAGGCAAGGCAGACCTTGCTAACTATGAACAATACCCTAGTACTACTCTCCTGAAAAAATAAATACCAACCAACCAAACTCAGCATCAACAACAAAAACCACACAGCAAACTTTCTACCCATTCCTCACCTCAGCAGAGATTCATTTTTTACTATGAAAAACAACTCCAAGAAAACTTTGCAGAGGGTCAAGTATTATACTCTACATTGGTCTATAGAGACACTTTGAGTACCCTGTAATCTGTAGAATGTCCTATCAACTCCACACAGGTACTTACAGAAGTGCTGGCTCCAACTTGTGAGCTAGAGCTGGTGGGTGTGGAGGTGTCTGATGAGGTGGAGAGCTGTCTCACTAGGGGACTGTGTGGTGGATGGTGAGTAGCTGTCAAGTAGCTTGAACTGCTCATGTCTGTGTGATGCTTCAACACTGCAAAAAATCAACAGAAAGGAATAATACATAGCTAAATAGATATTATAACCAGTTCTACTTCTAACGTATGTTAGGAATGCCAGCAATTCACTCCAGGGGAGGGGGGGGAAGCTTGTTTAAGCCTAAAGGATTAAAAAGCTGCAGCAACTACTTGATGGGAAATAAGGGACCGGGCAGTAAGAAGTGACCTGCATTTAGAAGCAATAGTGCCCCCTACCATGCCTTTCTAGAAAGTAAGGAACAAAGCTTGGGTAGGGGCTTTTAAGAGAAGCTTGGGCTGTCCCAGAAAGCTCTGAGCAAGTGCCAATGCAGATAGAGGTACTGGGCCTGGCCCTACCTTCACTTCTCTCAGATGAATGGTCTCGCACTCTCATTTTGCTGTGGTTTGGGTCATGCACAGGTGGCGGTAGATTGAGCAAGCGCTCTGCTTTTGGAGCTGTCACTCGCTCCACCATGGGCACAGCCCCCACATCGTCTAAGTGCTGCCTGTGGGTCCTGTCAGGTCGGGTTTGGTGATGGGACAGCTCTGAAGAGGGGAACAAAAAAGAGCTGTGAAGTACATTCACTCAAATCTTATTTGAGTTCTGAGCTCTTCAGTTATCCTTAGGCCAATGCTATACACCCAAGGCAGCACAACAGTCTTTGGGACTCAATCTTCTAGTTAATAGTACAATAGCTAGGACAGGGACAGGGAGTCACAAGCAGAAATGTTAACACCAGGCTATACAAGCCAACCTGCCCACAGGTAGACCCAGTATCAGGTTATTACTGGCTGTTCACTGAACATTTGAGGTTTCACTTGTTTGAAATAGCTTCCAAAGTCTACTTGAGAGCATCCAAAACAAGCAGATAAGGTAGGTAAGTTGTGAGTTGAATTTGTATTAGGTAACTAGATGCTTTTTCCAATCCCAGAACACTGGCATAGCAAACCAGTAACCAGCGAATATAAAAGGTATAAAATACAACAATAGTGATTGTAGAAGAGTCCTTAGTTCTCTGAAACTTACTGGCTGTTGTAAGGAAGGAGCTGACCAACTTATGCCTGTCTTTACGAACTGGATCTGATAGACTGCACGGCATGGGTGCTCTGTGCTTAAGTGAAAACTTTTTGGTAGGTTTGATCTTGTCAAAAGGCTTGTTTTGCCACTGAGACTTCAGCATGCTCTGGAAGTGCAGGCTTGTGGGAACATCTGTAAGAAACACAAAACAGTGCAGGTTAGTTCAAAAGCCTGGCCTCTGGGCTCCTCTCTCCTTGAAGGGTGGTTCAGTCACTGAGTCTCCAAAGGTCAAGATACCTATGTCACATACCTCTCTGGCTTAACAAGCAGTCTCACCCCATCTCACAAGGCAGAGGTTGTCATATGGAAGACCCACTTAAGTTAACGTTATTGATGTTTATACTATTCGTAAGTAAATACTGTTACCAAATTGGAATTTTATTTACAGTGGGGGTAAAAATATGATACCTATTGTTATATTGATGGAAGACTTTCCATGTGAGTCTTATTGGTGTGGCAGACTATGAACATCCTATTTCAATTCTTCTTTTATTTAAACCTACTTCTTTTTACATGTACAAGCATGATGTACTTGGTCAGCAATTACTTACACTCCCACAGGGCCTATGTTGGTTCTGTGACACCCTCTGCTCGCTGGCGACATAGTATTATTATTTCTCCCAGTACAAGCTATGCCATCCTCCTTGCTCTAGAGCTCTATCATATTGTCTTTTGATTATCCATGTTTTAAAAAAACAATTTATTGTGCTGGGTGGTGGCGGCGGCACATGTCTTTAATCCCAGCACTTGGGAGGCAGGAGGATCTCTGTGAGTTTGAGACCAGCCTGGTCTACAAGAGCTAGTTCTAGGACAGCCTCCAAAGCCACAGACAAACCCTGCCTAGAAAAACCAGAAAACATTTTTTTAACTTTTATTTTATGTGCATGAAAGTAACAGAACTCCTGGAACTGGAGCACAGACAACTGTGAACTGCCATGTGGGTGCTGGGAACTGAACCTGGGTCCTCTGGGAGAACAGCCAGTGCTCTTAACTAACCCATCTCTCCAGCCCTGATTATCTGTTTTCATTTAAAGCTGACTAGTTAATGTTAATTACTAGAAAACTAATTATAACTTTTTATTTCCTCACTACTGTTTTTATCATACACCCAACACCCTCGAAGACAAAGTCTTACTATGTTGCTCAGATTGGCCTCCAAATTCCTTAGTGGTCCTCCTGATTTAGCCTCCTGAATAGCTGTGACTGTAGGTGTGGACTGGCTTGCCTGGCTCTAAGTTAATTTATATTTACCCAAGAATTAAGTACTTTAGTAATTTCTTAGGAAAATAATTTCTAAGGTTACAATTGTTTTCCTATAAACTTTAAACCATTCTTCCATTGTACCCTAACAT